TTGGGGTTGCTTGTTTCTTGATTGAGGTTCTGCACTTCATTTCTGCAGGCAGGCCGATTTCCGGATGATGAGTGCAAAAGATGAGCAGCCCAGACACCAAGCCAGTCAACAGTGGTAGACGCCAAGGGGGATCCTCCTGGATCCATCCAGTCCCTGCGGCAGAGCATTCAAAGTGCTCCTCGCAGCCGTTCCAGCAGCCAGTCCAACCCTAGCCAGACAGCTGGTAGTTCCTGTGTCAACAAACTTGTTTTCACGGAAGTTGATTTCCTCCTGGAAAGGCAGCTGGCGCAGGGGCGTTTGGCTTTGTTCGCACCTTGTGCGTGGCCTTCCCTGGTCAGCGCAGATGATACAAGGGCCTAAGGTGCCTTTTAGAAAGATTAGCTGAAATCCTGTCGCCAAAGAAGCAGCCGTCCTCGCAGCCACTAGAGTTACAAAGGGGATGGCGAGCAGGAACAGAAAGTCGTGCTCTGCGGGTTCCCTGTTCCCGAGAAACAGAATTAGCATGTTGTTCAGTGATTCAACACTAAAAGTTAAGATGGATTGAAATAGGAGCATTATGGCCATTTTTATTTAGGGTTTCCCTTTTTCTCCTTTTGGAAGAGAAATGAAAACAAGGGCTAAAGGAAAACAGAATTCTGGGTTTGAATTATTTTGGAAAATAGAAAATCAGGATGGCTGCAGCTTACACGGGACTGAAAGATCTGCTTCTGCCAGGAAACCTCTTCCTCGGTGTTGTTGAAGTCCTGCTGTCTTGCTTGAAGTGCCTTGTCAGTAATTGGACATCTTGGAAAACTGGATATACAGGTTCAAAAAGTTAAGGAGGTAAAGGTGGATCCTAGGTATAAAGAGGCTGAAGACCAGTGCTCTGGGCAACTGTAGGTAAGCATTAATTATCTCTTCACCGCCTTACAGGTTTAGCGGCCTTCCTTACAGGGTTGTCTCAATTAGTGAAACGATGTTGATGTAGCTCGTTGGACACACAAGAGTGGTAGTTGCTGTTATTCATAGGCGGTACGTCAGCTGGAGAATGAGTGCCATCATGTGCACAACGCTGCCACCTGCTGGCTTCCCACTGCAATAGCCCGTGTCCGGCCCCGTCGGAGCGCCTTACAGCCAGAGGCCCTGATGCTCGTCCAGAGCCACAGTGGGTGGACTGGGAGGGAAAGGGCCTGTTGCACTCGCACCTCATCTTCCTTAAATCGAGGTCCTAAAAGGACCCATTTCTTGTGCTGAATGCAGGATAACTAGCAGGGTGGTGATGGGGGAGCCCTGGTCAGAGCGGAAACTGGGCTGTTTTCCCGCTTGCTTGCAATGCGGTTTGATGTATCCGGAGCCAAATCAGGACCCTCCGCACCACTGCTTATGGCGGTGGGACCACAGTGGGATCCGGTCGTTGCCCTTCCCCTCTGGCAGGACCGACCTGACACATCTGCCTGCCTCCTTTCCCGATGGCAGATGCAGATGGGCTTGGAGTCCAGTCTTCCTTCAACAGGGTCTCCTGCTGCCCATGAGGCCGGCTGTCCCCCGGCCCTCCTCACTCCCCTTGCTGTGAAACTTACCTCGTTCTCTGGCTCAAATTAAAATCTGAGCCAGAGCAGTATTTTTGAAGTTACAAGATTCTGAAGCAAGCTGCCAAAGCGCTTATTTCCATGTCAAGAAACAGAAGACTCAGCAAAATTAAAGGAGTCTCTCTTGATTTCTACTTTCTGTGTTTGGACAAATGCTAGGACCATTTCAATCCCAGTGCAACCTAAGTGAGAAGGCCAAGACTTGTTTTCCACAAGGCTTAAGCCATCAAAAAAGCAAAATGTAGAGAATTCCCACCCCCTCCCCCAGAAGCCAATACATCTTATTTTTCCTCAACATCACAGCAGGATCATGTTTCATCTAATGTGAAATGAGAACAATGAGAAGCGGTAACAGCTCTGGCAGTGTTATTTAAAAAAAGCTGAAGAAATTGTGCATATGTTAATTGGCAATGGTTATATAATAACTTTTATAAGACCATATATATTTGTGTGGTGTAGTGTTAGAGTCTTGGACTGGAACTCAGATAATCTGGCTTCTAGTCCCCACTCAGTGATGAAGCTCCTGGGGGGACTTTGGAGCCAGTCTCTGACTCTCAGCCTAGCCTACCTCGCAAGGTTGTTCTGAGGATAAGACAGAGAGTAGGCAGAAGATCTTTTAAGGATTCCCTGCAAGAAGAAAAGAGGTGGTGTATAATATAATCAATATCAATATTTATTTATTAGCGTTATTCCCCACCTTTTTCTTTTTTTTAACGAACCCAAAGCAGCTAATACCAATTTTCCCCTCCTGTTCTCACTCTTATCCCTGCAGCAACAACAACCCTGTGAGGTAGGCTGGGCTCCATGGCTGAGCAGGGAACTAGAACCCAGATCACTTGAGTCCCAGTGCTCAGCTCAACCACTGCACTTCCTCTCATAAAAGAACTAAACGACTAAAAGTACACAGACCAGCATGCACAATTATCATAAAATCACACACTATAACCACTGAAAATAAAAAAGCAATAACATCTCACATAGAAAAGAACTAATATTTAACAGAAACAGCAATTGCATGAGTCTACCAGGGTCCCCGGCAGACAGAGAGGTCAGGGGGCAGGGGGCCTAGCCTACTGCATGAGTTACTATACTGTAATATGTGCTGGACTGATGACGTCCCGCCCAGCTTTGAAACACCTTTGTGCCTGCTTTTTCTTACCTGCTTTAAGTGCTTCACAGAAGCCATCAAAATATCCTTAGTATTATATGCCAGAGTTATTGATAGTAAAAGACCCATCAGTAAGAGAGGTGCTGTACGTGAGGAAGAAAAATGTGTGCGTTGCAGGGACCCAGAGTCCATGTGGGATCTTCCGTGGGTTTCAAAATGAGTTTTCTCTCATATTTGAGATTTATAGGACTTAATTATGTTCTGTATTTATAGATTTATAGTCACTTGGCGCATCTGAGCAGAGGCTTCGTGCAGGCCTGGGCAGACAGAATCTGAGCCTCCCGGGCCTTCATACAACTCGTGTGCATTCTAATGCACGGAGCTACACTGGCCAGTGCAAGATGCTAAGGCGCTTAGCTTCCAGTTCCTCCCAAAGTTTTAGGGGCAGCCTAATCTCCCAGTTTGCTATGGGTAAGAAATATCATTAGGATCACGGTGGGGAAGGAAAAGATCAAGCATCTGCTCCCTGCCCACCACAATCCAGATGCAAACAGCATGGCAGATATTTAAAGGGGAAAAACCCTGCAGCTGTACCTGCACCTGAGGTGTGACATTTGGCATCCACTGCCTTTGGTCTTAGACTGAAGGAAGCATTCGATCAACTCTCTCCAGCTCATCTGGTGGATATTCCTCCAGTGGATTAAAGGAAAGCTGGTAACAAGCTGATTTGAACTGAGTGGAAGCTGCAGATCTCGAGCAGTTTTCTGCAACGTCTCCTGTACGCTCATGTTTCGCTTTTAAGGCAAAGCTCCTGGTCGCCACCCTCACGAGATAGCCAGCATTTTAAACGAGAATTAGCAAAAAGAGGATTTCTCCTGAGCAGATCTGCACTGTTGCGAAGTGCCTAGTCGGTACGAGACTGCCTTACCGGCAAGCCGCTGGAGTGAAACTGGCAACACGTTTTGTTTGTTAGCCAGCTTCCTCCTCCACTGGTTTCCAGTTTTTGAAACTGCTTTGCCACTGGAGTGAAGCAAAATCCTGGACTGGATGTGAAACTTTCCTCTTTCCTCCTTTCCCACAAATGCTCAGTCCCCACTGGAACTTAAAACAATGGTTACCTGCTTTGGAAGGTGCAAACTTCTCCAGTTCATGCGATATTCTAGCCTGCTCTTCTGATCCTGCTTGCAAAATGTTTGTTCCTAAGCAACAGGAAATCCCAAGCCCTCGGAGAGTGCTAGTGTACGCCCCGTCTCCAAGGTGCAGGTTCAAAGGCAGTGCAGCAGGTCCCAGCGGCACCTTCCAGGTGTGGGAAAGCAGCCGCCTGGCTGGGAGAACCAGGTGTCCCGGGTCTCCGGCCGATGGACTTACCTGGCATAGCTTCACCATCTGATCATGCCAGCGGGAGGGCTGCCCAGAGTGCCACCCAGCATCTGTGAGATCATCGCCCATCATCCTGCATCCAGCCCTGCAGCACAAAGGGTGGCCAGGAGGCAGCTCAGAGCTCGGAGCATGGCTGGTCCTGCCACGAAGCAGGTCCTGCTCCAGGTGGCACAGGAAGTGGGGGGGAGCGCAGGAAGGGCCCCTGTCTGACTAGCACAGCAGGCATTTATTTATTTAAGGCCATTCATTATTTACAATAGTTGTGCTCTCCCACGCTTCTTCCAACTCCAGACCAGCAAATATTTCATAAAAAAATAAAACTTTAAAGAAAGCGGCAACATTTGTGGTAAAACGATCCAAGCACTTAAGCCATGCAGCAGGCGAAGGGGTTTTTCGGATTAACAAGCGTGGGAGAATGCAAGCGGCCTCCCTTTGGGCTGGACGAACCGGGTGAGGTCCCAGGCCCCGGTTCCAGGGGCAGGGGACACCTAAGTCCTGCTGCAGGCAGCAAAGCCTCTTAGGCCAATATGGGCTGGTGAATGTGCTTCGAGCGTCGAGCTTGTTCTGGAAATGTACATTACAAGAGCGCGCTTGGAAATTGATGGCTTTGGCAAAAAAAAAGAAAAAAAAAAGAGAGATTTCTAATGTTTGGGCAAGGATAGACCTTAGAGAGAGGAGTAAAAATATGAGCTGCTCAAACTAGGTAACCAGCTCAAATGAAACGTATACATTTTCTAGATCTTTGTATCCAAATGTATCTCCAGCCTACACAGAAAGGGTTCGGCTCTGCAATAGTGTGGGAACATTGGTGGAAAGTGTGTATTAATTTGTAAACAGCTGGGCCCTCCTCCTTTATGTTGGCACCGTGCACTGCCTTCGCCTCACTTTGTGACCAGGAGGAGAGAATTCCAACCAACACCGTCTCTGCCTTTTGTTTTTTGCAGACGTTCAGGGAAAGAAAAGGCCATGCTCCTGAAGTGGCAGGTAAAGCGGAACGTGTCTCTCGCCGATGGTTTTCCTTTGGAATCGATCAGTCCAATGCCAGGCAAAACTCGGAGTTATTGGCAGACCAGGGCGTGTGCTTACAGCCTTTCCCCATGGATTTCAAATCTTTAGGGCATGGGTCCTCAAACTACGGCCTGCGGGCCGGATCCGGCCCACCGTCCCTGTTTATCCAGCCCGCCTCAGAGGTTCTGCACTCGCTGCACCCGAGCGCGCGGAGATCGGTTTGGGCTCGCTTGGAGAAAATGATCTCCGTGCGAGCAAGCCAGCCCCTCACCGTCCCGTGCCCCCCACCCGTACCACCTTTCCAGCCCGTGCCCACCGCCGGCACCTTTCAACTGGCCCCCTGTTGAAAAAGTTTGAGGGCCCCTGGTTTAGGGGCTTGGACCGAGTACCCGATCATTACCTTAGGGAGGCTTCCACAACATGCCTCCCCCACCTGGGTGTTTTACCTGTGCACCATGGGTAAAATCTCACACAGTCGGAATATCAAAAGGCACACCTGTGCAAGAGTTGCATTGCACACCTGTGATACCAGCCTGGAAGAGTAACGCTAGGTGGCTCCCTGCAAGGCCAAACGTGTGAGGGAACCCTGGTCCCCCATCTTCTGGCTGGAGTTCTGCACAATCCATCGCTTCAACAGGTGGGCCCTGCCCTCTTTCAGCTGAAACCGTCAGGGAGGGATGCCTGCCTGAGCCACCTGCTTCCCGCTTTAGGCACAACCAGCCCCTGTTTGTCTCTGCACAGCCTGTTCTGGGGACCCTCTAAGCCAGCAGTACCTCATTCCCAGGGGATGAGCCCCGAAGACAGCGATCTTCCATCAGCTTTGCCAACATTCTGGCTCATTCTGGGTGGACTGTTTGCTTCCCTCTGAACAACCCTCTTCTGCGGACACCCGGCTCCCATCAGCAGGAAGTCAGGAATCTTTCCCTGATATCTGGCTGAAATCTCCCTTCCTACATCTTGTCCAACTATAAGTGATCTGATGGGCCAAATCTCACCACACTTTTCGGTCCAGTACCACTTCTTCCAGCCAACCTGTGCTCTGGCCCACATCCTCTTCCGTGGAGTCTATCCTGCAGCTTAAGGCCATTATTCTGTGTCCTGCACTCTGGGCTGATTGAGAAGAGATCCTGCCCTCCTCGGTGTGCCAGCCTTTCAAGCGCTCAAAGAGAGCTATCCTATCTCCCCTCAGTCTTCTCCTCTCAAGGTTAAACTTTTCACCAGGCAGCAGTTTACACACCCATCACAAACCCAACTGTCGATGTGGCTAATGGTTGAATATCCACCTACCACAGGTCCCCACCCACTGGAGGTATATTCCTGGAATATCCTCAGAAGTTCTGTTCAGCTGGCATGTGGCAATATGTTGCAGGACACCGATGCCCCTCCTGGCTTTCTACACACATGCTATTTTATTGGTTGTTCCTGGGCTTGCTTGGCTCAAAAACTGATTTATTTAGTAGAAGAAGGTGGGGAAGACTTTAGCGCTTCAGCTTCCTTGCCCCATTGCTAAACTCAAATGGGTGCTTAACTGGTTTATGCACTGTGTGTGTGTGTCTGTGTGTACCTTGATGCTGACATGCTCCATCATTAGGGCTTGGTGAGATGATCTAGTCCCTTAACATGATGTTGGCCCTAGAAAATACCTGTGCAGGTAATTTGAATCAAGAAAATAGTGCAAGGAGAGGCACATGCCACCCCAGTGCTGTTGTCTTAAACGTATTTCCATGTCTGCAAGTGTTTTTTTCATTGTTACAAAAATTGGCCATCTCCTGCAGCATGTCTGATTGTGACCTAACCTGGAAAGCTGAAGAGATGCTAGGATTGGCTGGCTAGCTGGTGGGGATCTGCATGTGCCTGCCTTAAAGTGCTTTCAAGTGCTTGGCTGACTCCTGCTAAGGATGTGAGATGCACACGCAACTTAGACTCATAGAAACATAGAAACAGAGCGAGTCAGAAGGGGTTTCCCGGGCCATCTAGTCTGACCTCCGGCACCAGCCTGCTCCGCTCACGACATGCCCATCATGTGCATGTCCAGCCTATTCTTGAACACCCGCACTGATGGGGCCTCAATGACCTCCCGTGGAAGCCCATTTCACACCCTCAGGGTCCTAACTGTCAGGAAGTGCTTCCTGGCGTCCAAATTGAACCTTGGCTCCCTGAGCTTTGCTCCGTTGGAGAGCATTCTGCCTTCCTCTGCAGGGGAGAATAGATCTCTACCCACCTCCGTGTGACATCCCCTCACATACCTGTATGTCGCCAACAGATCCCCTCTGAGTCTCCTGCAGGCTGAAGTGACCTAGTTCCCTCAGTCTCGCCTCATACGGCATCCCCTGCAAACCGACCACCAGCCTTGTGGCCCTATGCTGCACTGACTCCAACCTGGCTAGATCCTTCCTGTAATGAGGGGCCCAAAACTGAGCACAGTACTCCAGTTACGGGCGCACCAGAGTCGTGTAGAGTGGCAGTAATACTTCTGCCTGCTATGTTATGAACAGCCTAAAAGCTGTAAACAAGCTTTGCCGGCTTTGTGGCTAGACTTTTCTAGAAGATGCCTGTAATGAGATAACTGCGTGGAGTTGATTGCCAAGGGAATATACCTCTTTCCCATTAGAATTTGACTCCATACCCTGAGGAATTCTTAACCTAAACAAGACTGAAGAAGAGCATTTAGTTACAGCTATTACTGTAAATCAGTAATACTGAGAGGTAGGCACATACAGCTAGGATTTGAGATAATGCAGCTCCTATCGGGAGCACAGAGAGTGACAACGACAGAAATCTTAGCCTAGCATAGCATTTGTATGGTCTGGCCCAATGCCATAAAGCAGCCCGTCTTTCAGTGATACACCAGATATCCTAGCTTCATTCTCCAGCATCTTCAGCTAAAGGTTTTTGTCTGGGATTGTGGAGAGGTACCACCTTCTGGAAGATGGTAATAAATCCATTCTCTGACCTGCCAAAAGGGAGCTTTTTCTACAAGGCGAGGGGGTGGTCATTCTCTTTCTAAAAGGCTGGGCAAGGCCACGGATGTGAATAAGGCTATCCTGAGCTGTTTTAGGCACTAGCCAATAGCTGCTGATGCTAGCATAGGACGTGTTCCTTCTGCCTGCAATTTGTATTGGGTTGTTTATGGCTGCATCGGTAACCCTTGTTTCCGTAACGTGACAGAGGAGAGAGATCAGCAACTTTGATTACCTCATGTACCTGAACACCCTGGCTGGACGGACATACAGCGATCTCATGCAGTACCCGGTTTTTCCGTGGGTCCTTGCTGATTATCATTCCAAGGTGAGCCATTTCTGCGACGTCATCAGGGGGCTGCTGCAGACTTAAGGCATTTTCCTTGTGCTGGTCTTGGGCTTCTTTGTCCAGATGTTCCAGTGACCAGTTTGCTGGATTTGGCTCCATGAAGAAGGTCACACTGTCTTTGTGTTTTAGACTCTAGACTTGACTAACCCCAGCACCTTCCGTGACCTTTCAAAGCCCATGGGAGCTCAGACTGAAGAAAGAAAAAACAAATTCATCCAGCGCTATAAAGAAGTAGAGAAGAGTGAAGGTAGGTGCCCCGTTGCTGAGTGCCTTCGATTCTGGGTCTTATTGACAGGGAGGTACCCAGCAAGAAAAGGGGCAATCAGACATCCAATCTGCATCCAAGAAGCAGAACCCGGTTAGAAACTGGGCAGAATGAGGTATTGCTCTCGCCACATCCAAGCAGCAAGTGAAGGATGCTGCGCTTGGTTGGCCTTGTGGTCACCCTGCCCTTCAGCGGCCATTGGGCATTCTTGGTGTGACTCCAAAGAGAGAGAGAGAGAAGTCCTCATGCTATCCCGTGCCTGGACTTCGGCAAAGACTCACTGGCTTCACTGCTCCTGGATTGCCCTTGAAATGCCCATGGGCGTTATCTGGAAAATGCGGTGGATGGTGGCCTTGGAGAGTGCAGACTCCCCAGATGGATGGGGTGATCTTGGCAGGGAGATGGCAGGACCTTTGGACAACTGCTGTGTGGCATCCTTGAAGAGTCCCTGAAAGGTGACGCGCCTTAGTCTCCTTGAGGAGAAAGAACCAAGAATCTTGTAGCACCATGCTACATACCTACTTCACGACATCAGCTTCCCTGACCTGGGGGTCGTTTCTTGAGACACATGCCTTCAACATGGCCTCTCCCTGCTTGGTGCCCTCCAGAGGCTGGGTACAGCAAGGACCATGAGTCTCAACCAGCATGGCCCATTGTCAGGAACTGTGGATTTGTCGGGAACCCTGGGAGATGCGTTTAGTGCCATCCCCTTATTGGAAACAGGTGGCTGGGGTTGTAAATAGTAGTGCTAAAAAATACAGTATGTGGCAATTCAATTAAAATTTAAACATCTGTAAAGCAAGCACAGTAGCCTTTCAAAACAACAGTACAGGGGGATAACATAATAATCTTCACATTGATAAATGCCTGACATTTAGTCCTGGGGACTTCATGTTTTAAATCTGTGGGAAATCTTTCCTTATTAGAGCCACATAAATGAGGAAGCCAGTCCTCCCTTATGTGTTTTCAGAGGTGGTTGTCATCAGCAACTCAAAAACTACCAAGGAGTCCCACATTAGAGGCCTTCAAAGAGAACCCGGACAGCCCCCTGAGTGGGGTGGTGTAACGTGGTGTCCTGCAACAGCAGGGGGTGGACCCGATGGCCTTCATGGCCCCTTCCAACTCTACTCTTCTATGATTCTAAGGAACATCAAGAATATTTCCATCATAAAAATATTCCACAGCACTAAAATGCTCAGGGCATGGCACATTCAGTCCATACTACTCTAATTCTGGCATCCCATCGCAGAATATCCTGGGGGTGTAATGCGCAAATAGCCACTGTGTTGGGTGTCCATTGAGTGGACCCCAGCGCTGAGTACAGATAGTGAACACCTGGAGAGATGGCGAACTATGGCTCAGTAAAGGAGCGTTTGACTCGGAAAGACTCATTCATGTAACAGGTACACATCTTACCTTTGCAGGTAACCTCTCGGCCCAGTGCCATTACTGCACGCACTACTCCTCATCGATGATAGTGGCATCATACCTGGTCCGGATCGAGCCCTTCACCCAGATCTTCCGCTCCTTGCAGGTAGGCTGATGGCTTTTGTGGTTGCAGCTGTGATGGCGGACGGTCTGATCAAACGTCGTGTCGTTGAGCCATGCAGCGTTTCCGGTTTTGGCCTTACCTTGGTTACCTTGGACGATCCTGGTGGCAAAGGGCTGTGAGTGGTGAGGAGGCACTCTGGGAATTCCACAAGGGTAACCCATTCGGGCACTTCAGGACCAAACTTCAGGTTCAGAGGCTGTAATGAACTTGGAAGGGTGGAGTTCAGTGAACTCCATACAACCCCTGCCCTTTCACTGCTGAAAGTCCCCACTTTTCATTTTTCACATCTGTTCATTCGACTTTCTCAGGATGTCTACTTTCTTCCAGTGGAAGTTAACTCTGCCTTCTTCACTGCCTTAGAAATTGATGCCTTTCCAATCCTGTCTCGGTGTTTTGGCACTGTAGGTATCAGATCCATACAGCATGTGGATGGTTGGGTCAGTTTCTCAAGTGCAGCATTTCTTACAGTTGGTCTGATTTCCAGACTCTCTCCTTGTCTTTACTTGTAATTTATCTGAGTTCTTCTGAAAAGGACAGGAACAACTTGAGCACTTGTTCCAAACCCATTTAAGGCTAAATCTCAGCAGATGTCTTCTAATTTCCACTCTCAAGGAGACTTTGGGTCCAGTTAGTCTTCTGTGGAAGGGTGGATGGTTGTGCTGATGTGGGGGCAAAGTTTGTATGGGGGGGATGCCATCCCCATGGATATGTTCCCCTGGAAAACTAGGGTTGGGTGAAGGTCCCCACCCCTTATTCTCCAGAGCTTTCTTTGCAATGAAGAGAAAATTGGCTCCGTCTCTTCAGGTTGGGGCACATATGTGTGTGTTGGAAGTGCTTATTATGCTTTTGGTGCAAGATTTCCAGTGATTGTATGCATTTTCTTCTTTCTGTTTTTACCTTTTCTTGAAGGTACAAGCAGGTCCAAGTGACTAAGGATTCCTGCTTTTGCCAAATGCTTGCCAAATGAAGTGCCCCTGGCAGAGACACTGTCTGAGGGCAGGGTCTTGTTTCTAGGGACACTCTATGGGGGAAGAAAGATGCCTGTCCCCATGCGATTGTTAGGAGAAGGCCCGTCACCCAGATTTGAAACCCCTGAAATTTGTGAGGAATGTTTGGATCAACCTTAAAAAGACAAAAACCTCAAGACTTCCTTGCTCGAATATTCCGATTTGGAAGTTCATGTGTGAGAAGGCTCGGTTCTGGTTGGATGTGGGTCTTTTAAACCTCTGAGAGTCCATCCATTAGGGCTGAGTGGCAGAAAGTGTTCCTAGGTTCAGACCACACGTTGAGGCTTGCCATGGATTATTTAACCCACCATGAGCTGCGCTGCCCAGAGGCACCACATTAAGTGTCTAATGCCCATTCAGGGCTTGTTGTGTCATGCAAACCCTGCAAGTATGGGTTGTGTGGAAGATAATCAACCTCAGATAACCCTAAAGTTATTGCATAACCACAGTTTATTAAGAATTACGTGACGGTTATTTAACCCAACTCTTGCTGGGTTTGCATGACATGACAACCTCCAAGAGGGAGTTGTATATATGAAATGAGGGCTGCCACCCACATGTGCCAGGGTCTGTTGTGGGTTGTCCTGTCATGTGAACAGGCCCCTCCCTCCTTTTCACTAACTCCTGCCTTGACCCCAAAACAAACGGAATTGTTTACTACGTGCTGTCTCATGAAGACACACAAATGCACAACCAATGCTCCCTGCTGCTGTTGGTTGCAGACTGAGAGGTCGCTGTGCCTGCCGCACAACATGTATGGAATCGAAGCAGCACAGAAGAGCAGAGTTGGAAGGGGCCAAGAGGTCCAGAGGGTCCAACGCCCTGCTCAGAGCAGGACTCCCAGTGAAACCATCCCTCTCAGAGGGCTGCCCAGCTGCCTCCTGGGTGCCTCCAGTGTGGGACAGCCCACCGCCTCCCCAGGTCAGGGGTTCCATTGCTGTTCTGCTCTAACAGGAACTTTTTCTTGATGTCCAGCTGGAATTTGGCTTCCTGTAACTTGAGCCCATTATTAGGTGTCCTGTATTCCCAGATGGGGACTGCAGGTGGCGCAGTGGTTTAAACCGCTGTGCTGCTGGGCTGGTTGATCGAAAGGTCGGCGGTTCGAATCTGCACAACGGGGTGAGTTCCCGTTGCTCCGTCCCAGCTCCTGCCAACCTTGCAGTTCGAAAGCATGCAAATGCAAGTAGATAAAAAGGCACCTCTTCGGTGGGCAGGTAACACCATTTCGTGCACCTCGGTGTTCAGTCATGCCGGCCACATGAGCACGGAGACTGTCTGTGGACAAGCGCTGGCTCCCTCGGCTAGGAAACGGAGATGAGCACCGCCCCCTACAGTCAGGCATGACTGGACGTAACGTCAAGGGGAAACCTTTGCCTTTACCTTACCTTTTATTCCCAGATGTTCAAGATTCTGCATCTGTGCTGTGTACAGCCTTTCAAGTGCCTGAAGACTGTGATCATCTCTCCCCGCAGTCTTCTCTTCTCTAGGCTTATCCTGCCCAGCTCTTTTACCTCCCACCCCCGGGCTTTGTTTCCGGCCCCGGATCACCTGGGTGATGTCCCTCCACTGAACCCTCCCCAGCTTGTCTGCATCTTGGAAAAGAGGCAGCGCTTATGTTTGCTGCTTTCTACTTCTCTTCTTCCTCTGTGCACAGGCAAGGCAGTGCCCAATCCAGTAAATACCAAGCTGTTTGGATGCCTTCAGCTGGCACAACGATTCCTGCCTGCGTGGATCAGAAAGCACTTTGAGACGAGGGGCTGAGACCCTCGGAGGGGCGGGTTCCCCATGCTGGCCGTGGAAAGGTGCCTGAATATGCCTCAGCAATTTATCCCAAAGGCAATGCTGTCAGTTATTGGAAGGACCCTGAATTCACACATCTTCCATAAAGCAGGAAGAGAAGAGCCAGAAGGGTGTTTTGGTGGGTTTACTAGCAGCCCACCAAGTTGCTCTGAACGTACGTCCTTCCTTCCTTCCTTCCTTCCTTCCTTCCTTCCTTCCTTCCTTCCTTCCTTCCTTCCTTTTCTATTGTTTTTGCACTCTGACAGAAAGAAAGCTCACTAATTCTGATATAAATATATGCAAATACATTTATTAATATAAGAAACACTGCAAATCAGTTATTGCTTCCTTTATAAATAATACAGGCTTACATTTTAAAAATATTACTTTCTCCAAAACGCATTAGACAGCTGCAAAAAAATGACATTTTTTCTGGATGGTAATATCTTTAATCAGATTTGAGGCACTAACAACATTTCCTATGTAGATATTATTTTTATTTAATACAGATAACCTTTTTATTACAAATCACATTGTTTCTCTGGAGAGTGCCACCATCTCTCACAAAAGCTGTAAAGGCAGATGAAAAAGTGTCAGTCACCCACTCTGGGCACAGTGTGGTATGTATGCAGATTAAATGCGCGTGGCTTTAAGTTGCCTCTGGGAGAGGCTCGTTAGCTGGGGTCTCGGTCTCGTATAACCTCCTTGTCCTCTGATATCCTCTTGCTTCAACTGAAATTTGACTTTGAGGGTTCTTGTCTATTAATTATTAGTTTCTCAATGAGCTCCGGGACTGACTGCTGTTCATGTTGACAGTTTTGCGGCATCTTTAGCTTACTGCGGTGAAGTGTCAGATCTGCACATGTGCGCCGAGGCTGCAGCGAAATGCTCCCCACAGCTGTTTTCGGAGGGCTGTAATGGGGGCTGGACAGAATCGGGGGTCAGGGGCTCGGGCGTTGCACCTACACCTTCTGCGGTGGCTGCACCTATATGACCCGGAAGAAGGGCCATGGCCCTGGGAAGGGGGCAGCTGGCGTTCCCTGCCCAGCAGCGGCTCGTTCTCAGCCGAGGGGAAGGAGCACGGCTTCCCCAGCAGCACTGCTGTGCCTGCTGAGTATCTGGCAGGACTTCTGCAAACTGGGAAGCGACAGCGTCATCCATGCCCCCTTCTGGCTATTCTGTGACTCCATTTCATCAGGAGCAGAGGCAGGGGATGCTCTGGGACTTCCTGGCCAAGCTTCCATGGTCGCCTTTGAGACACTGGCACCCCGAGGACATGGGCGGACTCCTCGGGGACCAGACTCACCTCTGGCCCACCTTGCCAACCCCATCTGGGTCTCAGGGGGTGGGCAGTGCCTCACCTGGAGGCGGAGGTCCTCACAGTTCCACAGGGACTGCGCTGAGGCCCTGACACTGTAAAGGGAGGGATACCAAGTTTTTAAAGAAATGAATGAATGAATGAATGAATGAATGAATGAATGGAGACAGCTGTCCATGGTGATTATTAATGTATTAAAACAATTAATTCATTCGAATTTATACATATTCTGGAGTTCTAGATCCAGTCTTTCATATCTTTTAACCATGCTGGGGAAATTTTCAGACCACATCCTGGTGGTGGTTGGGCAGAAGGCAAAGGTGATGAGAGGGGGGAGAGCCATTCGATTCCTGTCGGACCTCCGTCTCCTCCCGCCAGGGAGTGGTGTTTGGCCTGGGTCAGGTGCAACAGATTATACAATTGGATGAACCAGCAGACCAGGGGGGCTCTTCCAAGTGCATTCCTTTTGCACCGGAGAGGGGAAGATCAAGGACCACTTTGTGGCTGAGATTCAACATAGGGTGGGTGTATGTGTTGGCTTTTGAGGATTGGGTAAGGTGTTCTGAGAGGCTGACTCTGTCTGCAGCCGACTGGTGGCCCTTCTCTAATGCACAGATTCTGCCAACAGCTCTGCGTTTCAGCGCAACAGCTCCTGTGCTGCTGTGTAGTCCACAAGGCTTGTTAGGAAAAGATTTCCTTCATCAGCCCTCAGATGGAGCTGGTTCAGAGAGGAAATAAGGCAGCCTTTGGCCCAATCTAGACTTAACACAACATTCAAGTGGCTAAAGGAATGATGCCCCATCCACAAGCACTTGTATTATCTCAGTTACCTTCCCCTGAGAGATATATTCAATCTGTCCCCATATTTTGTGAGGGTATCACAATATACTTTTAAAGTATTAGGCCGTATGTGATAGATCTCACGTTGCCTGAAGCGACACTTTCAAGAACCACGGGGAGACGTGATCCAAGAAGATGAGGCAAGTGGGTTGCATTCGAAACCTCAGTGGCTGATTTAACTGTGCCTTCTCAACCTGCTGGGGGAATAGGCACCGGCTAATTTCTTCCCCATACATTTTCCTTCGTGGAGAGATCAGCTTCAGGGTGCATGTGCTAGTAAAAAATAACCAGTGGGCAAGAGCCTCTCTGTTTACCCAGTTTGGTTCAGTTGTGCCTTAGCTGAGGTTTATGTGTCTTAGAAACACACAAATGCAGAGGGAGAAAAAACCCAACCACACGTAGCAGTGTCCCCACTACCCACATCTTTCTCTGTGACAAGCCGTCTTGCAATTGCTTCTTCTTACTTCTTCTTCTTCTTCTTCTTCTTTTTTTTTTGAATAAGTTTTATTCTTAATAAACCTAACAAAAAGGAAACTAAAAAAATCATCAATCATCAAAAACATCGGACATACTGGGTCAGCCCCCCACATTTTTTCTTTTTATGTTAACTATAAACATATTTAAATCTATGCATAGTCCCGTTTCTCTAGCCAATGATAAAAAGAGTCCCAGGTTTGATAGAAGTCTGTATCTTCTTTCTCCTTCAGAGACAAAGTCAATCTGTCCATTTCCGCACAGTCCAGGATCTTTTTTAGAATTAGTTCATTGGTAGGTGGCTCTTCAGTCTTCCAGTGTTGGGCAAATGCAATCCTCTCTGCAGTGGTTACACATAGAGTCAAATACTTTGCTTGTTTACCAACATCATCAGGTACAATGCCTAATAAGAAAACTTCAGTTTAAATGTTAGAGGTTTTTGTAACATTTCCTCAAGCTATTTGTGTATTTTAATCCAATACTTTTTTGCCTTATCACAAGTCCACCACATATGATAGAAAGTACCCAATTTATGTTTACATTTCCAACATCCATTTGACATATTTGGAAACATCTTAGCTAACCTTTCTGGTGACAGATACCATCTATAAAACATTTTATACAGGTTTTCTTTGTATGAGGTGGCTAATATTACTTTAATATTTCTCTCCCGCAGTTTTTGCCATTTCTCTAGCTCAATATTATATCCAAAGTTTTGTGCCCACATTATCATAGTTTCCTTAACCTGTTCATCTTCCATTCTCCTATTCAGGAGAAAGTTATACCATCTTTTAATCATTTTTTCATCTGATTTAAGAATCACCTGGTCAAATGCTGTCAGCTGCTTCTTACTTCTTGATTAGCAGGACTTGGAGAGACACACGAGCAATGAGACCCAATTTTGTGTTTGTTTTCTTCTTTTTCTCTTGTCTCTTTCTTCCCACAGGGAGGAAGTTTTGATCTGGCAGACAGGATGTTCCACAGTGTGAAAAGCACCTGGGAGTCAGCCTCAAGAGATAACATGACGGATGTACGGGAACTCATCCCCGAATTCTTTTATTTCCCCGAATTCTTAACAAATTGCAACCAGTTTGAGTTTGGTAAGCATGAGTGCTGTGCTGAATTTTCACCTGCAAATCATTTCAGAGGCAAAGTGGTGTTGAGGAAGGGGGCGTGTTCTGTGAAGGGGAAATGAGTCCCACGCCCTCATCTTCCCACCATGCCTGATGGCAACCCACGGTGCTGCTCCTGTGCCGCCATGTCCCCAAGGGGTTTCTTTCCGACCTGATCAGAGATTGTGTGCTCTCACTGCGCCTGGTTGTCACCCAGTGGCCCAGTGGCTGTTTCTGGGCACACACCGGAATGCAAATTTGGACTCTCACTGGCCAGTTTTTTCCCCGCACGCAGCTGGGCTCACATCAGCCTCATCCCTCAAATGCAGGGAGCTTGGAGGAGCAAACTGTCGGGGTGCCAGTGTGACTGGGCTGAAAAAGGCTTCTAAAAAAACTGCCGTGTTTTTAGGAGAATTGCTCAGCTACCCGAACAGAATTCCTCACTAAGCCTGGAGGGGTTTGGCCGTCGGTGCTTTCAAGAAGAGGCAGCTTCCATTGTTCATCCCTGGCAAGACTCTGCTTGAGCTCATGGAACCAGTCCTGGGGAAAGGCCAAAGGGACTGCAATGCTTGGCCGTGCTCAGGCTGCTCCCACATGGAGCCTGCCCCAACATTTTGCCTCACGGGGATGATGCCGAGCCCTTCCGCGCTTGTCCTTTTCCCTGCTCCTCCCTGGCTTAAGCCTGGGCTTCTGGCTCAGCTCTACCCGTCTCCACAGCAGCTTGGTTTGTCCTGCTGGCTCCGCGTTGTGCTTTGAGGACATCCTCTCCATTGCCAGCCCTGGGGGAACGTTGATCCAGATATACGACCCCACCCCGCAATCTTCATGCCACTTGGCTGGCGTTGCACAGCTGCAGGAGCTGGGGGTGGGAGGACGTCTCCTTTGCACCAGCCTTACTGTACCACACCTAACATCCCGGATGTGATGACCGGCTGTTTTTGTCACTTGCAGGAAGCCTGCAGGATGGGAGTTCGCTGGATGACGTGCAGCTGCCGCCCTGGGCAGAAGGAAACCCTCATAAATTCATTAGCGTGCACAGACAGGTCAGAATGCGAAGGCCTGCATGTGGGGGCTTCACGGAGGCAGGAGACAGCTCAAAAGCAGAACCATCGTGGATGGGCCCAGCCGTCACAAAGCTGGAGGCCCAGTGTCCCTGAGGCTTGCATTTTGGCCTGAACGTAGCGATGGGAAAGATCCAGGAGGAAAAAACCTTTACAGCTGCCTTTTTGTACCTGCCAGGCACCTCAGGGGATCCCAGCCGATCCGCGATTGCACTTGGCACACGATAATGCCATGATGCTCTGTCGCTAATCCGAGTTGTCTCGTTACTGCTGCTGCTAAAGGGAAATGCAGCCAAATTCTGAGTGAGGACACCCTAACCCTAATGAAGGCTGCCACGGATCCATGCAAACGTGCAGAAGGAAACGCCTTTTTGGCCTCCTCTTCCATTCGCTTCTTCCACTTCCAGCAGTGGAAACCTTTCCCTTTCTGTTTGCCTCCCCCAGACCGGCCTTAACGCTCCTTGGATCTCAACATTTTCATTGTGGGGTTTTATTGTAGAGATAGCTTCCTCAGATGCTATGCTTCACTCTGTTTTATTGTGAGACTGTCCCAAGACTTTGGTAGCAGATGGTATATAAAAGTTTTACACAAATAAATAAATAAATAAACCAAAACATCCGCTCTTAGGGAGAGTGGGGAATGTCAATTGAGTGCAGGATGTGGCTGTGCCTAATAGTATATTTCGAAGAACAACATTTAAACATCTATTGAAAAAATGTTAATAGGAAAAAGGTTTTATTTCTGAACTGATATACATGTGCAACACACGTGCACACAAACAAAACTTATGAGCAGTAAAGTAATACAATAACTGGGGATCATCATATCCAAATAACTTAAATAAACTGCATCTCTCTTTTCTCCAGATTCCTTCCTAGCAAGAGCTGCAGCCCTGTTTTCTAGGCCTCTCTGATCTTTCTGATCCTTCCATCTCTACATTTCTGAGGTGTTGATACCTGGGAAGCACTGTCCTTCCCAGGCAACCTGGAGGATACTTTTGTGGCCACCAAACACCTTTGGCCTAAACCGTATGACTTCTGAAGTGTGCTGGTGTCCAGAGGTTCAAATTCCTGGTTAAACTCAACTGCAATGATTTTCTTTCGTATCCTTACCACTAACGCCATTTTCCATGGATGGAAGGAAAAATGGGCAGAGCCGTGTTGCCCACACTCCTTTTCGCCTGTCTTTTCCCGCAACCTTTCCTGCTTCTGGAAACGTTGCTCTATGTCTGTCTCTGCGGAAGCAGCCTTAAAGTTCTGCATTTCTCAAAAACAGCATTCGCTGTTATAGTTATAATTTTATTTAGCTCTTACCATTTTTCATAGAAAGATGCTCATAGAAATATACAAAGGTGAGATAAAACATGAATGAACATACAATAAAAATAATTACAAAATAGCATTCCAAAGCCATTCAGTAGCAGCAATTATAATCATCATAATTTTTAAAGCGCCAGTCCCAGGGCACTCATGGATTGGAGCAGGATGACCAAATGTCAGCGAGCTGATGGAGTTGTTGCCCGGACAACGGTTGTGACAGTTGTTTCCCAGACACTCCCGGTTTGGAGGCTCGCAAGCTGCTGCAGGGCGATAGGGGTTGTGTCCTCATTGCTCGTGTGGGAACTCAATAATACGAACGTCTAGGAATGGGAGCCTCTTTGGGCTGGAGGTCGCACTAAGCCAGTCAGTCTGGGTGAATTTGGACTGTTTGGTTTCAGGCCCTGGAGAGCGACCATGTCAGCACGCATCTCCATCACTGGATAGATCTGATCTTTGGCTTCAAGCAACACGGTCCAGCCGCAGTGAAGGCCGTGAATGTCTTCCACCCTTACTTCTACTGCAACCAAGCGCACCTGGACAAAGTGAACGACCCGCTCATCAAAAGCACCATCCTGGGATTCATTAGCAACTTTGGGCAGATCCCCAAGCAGGTACAGTGCAGATGCGGGGCGCATCCAGCTGAGCAGGAAAGAACGCTGAGTTGCCAAGTGCTGCATTCGTAGCCACTGTAATCCCGGAGGGTGATTTAGTGGATAGCCCAGAAAAATGCAGCACGCGGACACTGGTTGAAGGATGTTGAAGGAGGGGCCATGAGGGGCCTCATCCTGTCCCTTCGCCAGCCATGTCCCGGCTCCTTTGTGCACTTCTGTGCAGGTGCCCGGGATGAGTGCTGGGAGGAATCCTTCCAGGTAAGAGCACCTGTCAGGCCGCAGAGCAGACGCTTCCGGGGAACAGGTGTGGCCGAGCCGGGCAGGGTTGGCGGGCTGTCCCCGCACAGCGAAGGTGTCACTTCCCACCCTGCTCTGCTCAGCCACTCCTGCTGCCTTTTTTTGCCCCCAGCTGCTTGGCTTGGGGCCTTTGCGGAAAGCGGGAGCCACCGGGCAAACCTGCATTCCTACATGCACACAGAGTGACTCGTTTCCGAGTTGAAAGAGCAATTTGAACTGGTTGTAGTTTTTGTTTATTTAGCTGAGAGTTTCATGACTAGCATCAATGTCATCCTAGCTGCTATGGGAGAGCAGCACCGGGGCAACCAGAAGGGGTTTAGGGCTGTTGTCACTGGCTTTTCAGTGATGACACAAAGCCTATCCATTTGTTTATGCCACTTTTCGGGGGGAAAGAATGGAGTGTGTTTGTTTTTGCTGCTATATAATTCTTCCGATTAGCTGGGATGTCTAAATATGGGTTTTGGATATTGTTTTAATAGGGACCTTTTAGAGGTACCTCCAGATATTTTAAAAGAAGAAAACTGTTTTTAATTACAACTAAAATAATACAACTGTTTTAAATGCACACAGCTGATATTCCTGGATGTGTATATATACAATTTCAGGCACCACATGGCCTGCCAGAGTGCGCATGTGCTTAAGATCAAAAGGAGAGCTGTGCATGATGTTCAGCAGTGAGCGTCCCTTGTCTTTGAGGGTTTCATGAGCTTCTGCTGTCATGCTTCATACTCTCTTGCAGATCTTTACCAAGCCACACCCAGCCAGGAATGCTCCGGGGAAGCACTTGATGAGGAAGGACAATCTCCCCTTTCCGTATCCCACTGGCAATTTTCCTCCACCCCTCAGCAGCTTGCATCACCTGAAGTGCTCACCTGTTACTCTTAAAGGTATAGGCCGGGAACCTTAAGACAAAAAGAGCATCAGGTGGGGGAGGCTTGAATGAAATCTTCCAGCTGTTCCTAAACCCCAGAGTGCATTCCAGAAACTTAAAGGGCTTCCGAGACACAGAGGAGACATGGGAAACCTTGCTGAGCAGAAGGGCACGGCAGGGAGGGAGCTGCAACTGCTTTGCCCCAAGCGGAATTTGATGCTCCTTCAAATGCCTCCATCCCGCGCCACGTAGGACCGTCAGAACTGTGAATTGTGCTTGGGAATGGGTCTGCATTTGGTGCAGCTCTTTTAGCATTGAGATAGTATGGCCCTCATGTCCAGCATTGTGGCAATTTTACATTCTCCTGGTAGTTTTCAAGCTGTCTCCAGGGTACTCTGTGTAACACCCTGCAGGAACTCCTCCTAGATGTGCCTAGAGCTTAGTTTACTCTGGTTAGGCTCTCCAACCGACTGGCACCACCATCACCATCGCACTGTGCTTATATCCCACCTCTCCTCCTCTTGCAAGGAACCTAAAGCAGCCTGCAAAATTCTCCTCTTCCCTATTTCTCCTCCTCCCCAACTTGCAAAGTTCTTCTCCACATGACAACCCATCATGGGTACAAGAACCCTTACCATGACCCATGGGTTCTCATGGTGGCTTGTTGCCTTCAAACAAGCCACACTGAGGGAAATGATCCAGATTCATGTTGGGTTGTCGTGCTACTTTTTCTTTTTTCTTTTGCTATGGGGGGTGTTTACTGGATGAAATCCTGTGGGCTTAATTCTCCCTTCTTTTAAAGCAGGGGTCCTCAAACTTTTCCACCGGGGGCCAGTTGAGAGCTGCAGATGCTGGGCGCGGGCTGGAAAGGTGGTGCCGGCGGTGCGCGCGGGCCGGTGTGGGGGTGGGGGCGGGGGCGGCGCGAGCAGGCACGTGCTGAGCTGGGGGTGGTACACGCGGCGAGGGGAGGCAAGGCGTGGGCAGGGGTGGGCATGCACCGCGAGGCAGGCACACGAGGCAGCGGCTTGCTCGCTTGGAGATGGCTTTCTCCGAGCGAGCAAACTGCTGCCTCCCTGTGTGTGGTGGGGAGGGGGGGCTGCAGCGGGTCCAAATGAGCATGGCGGGCTGGATAAATGGTCATGGTGGGCCAGATCCGGCCCCTGGGCCATAGTTTGAGGACCCATGTTTTAAAGCATTGTTCCAGAAGCAGAAACATCAAGACCGCTACCTTACTTTCTCCTTTGCAGAGGCACTGGGAGGACCCGTTGGGCACATCGTGTGCACTGAAAAGGGGGTTTTGGCTGTGGGAGAGAACAAAATTTTGCTTCCTCCATGCTGGACCAGAGTGTTTTGCTGGGGATTTAACGATTTCACCTGCTGCCTGGCTAGCTCTGGACCAGACAAGGTAATGACTGGCGAATGCAGAGGAGCGTGCAGTGTTTTTGCATAGCACCGGGGAAAAGCAGGTGCGGTTCGTCACATGCATGGCTGAGGCCCAGCTGTGGTTGGTGCAGCCCATGGACAGAGGAGGGATCCTCCCTTCCTGTTTGTCCCACCCTTACGCAGCCAAAATGGCGCCCTCTGCCCAGAAGAGGGAGGGAGATGCCGCAAGCGCCGAGGACTGCGAAGGCTCACAGAAGTGCCTCCTCCCAAAGTGCTTCAGAGATGAAGCCCCGAAAGCACAACGTCCAGAAAGTTCATTCAGTCACTGTGCGGCTCTAAATCTCTGTTGCAGGGGAGAGAAAACCAGGGGCAGAGTGAGGGATGGGATGGGATGGAATGGAATATCCTACGAAAAGGATATTGTAGGATTGACTCTCCAAAACGCAGCACTCCAGTGCAATCTTTTGCTGTGGGTCTCTTTTTAAAAAATAAATAAGAACATGAGGTACAATCCAGGAATTCCCCAATTCAAAGTTTGCCTCTGTCCTGTGTTGATTTAGGCAAACGTATTCACCCCCTCGCTCTTTCCCAGCAACATGGGGGGTGATGGTACTGACCTATTTCACAGGGTTATTTTATGGGTAGCGTAAGTGATCCTGCCCTGTGATTATTTTTTCTTGGCTCAGATTCAGATGTAGAGGGAAAAGGCTGATATGCCAGGAAAGGGTGATGGTAGGGAATCATAACAGCAAAAGTTAAAGGGTTGTTAAGAAAAAAGAAACAGTGTTTCTCAGAGGCATTTGCAAAAGGAGAAATTATCTGTTTTAGAATTTACATTTATTTTCTAATGTTTTTCGGGGGGGCTGTAAAAAATTAATATTTGGAATCTTTGCAAAAGAAAATCTTTCTATGATTTACTCTATGTACTACTGAAAATATTGTGGTCTGGTTTCAGAACTGCACAGGTTTCCGCAAGTCCCAGGCTATTCACCCATTTCTGTTTCTCCTCCGTTTTTTATGCTTCCACGGATGCTTCGGTGAGCAGAAGACGACCGTTTCTGAAGCCACGGTCGACTGGGCGGGCTGCCTCTGTGCCGTTTGTCCCATGCCAACACTGCTCATCACCTCCGGGAGCAGTTCTGTCATATGTGCCTGGGAACTGTCCGTGGACAAGGACAGGCCGGCTTGCTTGAGCCTGAAGCAGGTAGAGCCTTCACACTCGCCTTCGGAAGTCTTTGGGCAGGCGGGCGGGCCAGCAGCTGACAGCAGGCGATCCCTGCCCAGTGGTGTCTTGGGGGACATTAAGAAAAGGTGCATGCCAAGCCCAAAAGCAAGGCCTCACATCCCTTCCTTGGTGCAAAGTGCATCATGCAATGGGAGGAAGCATTATGGCAGAGTGCCCTCCCCCGGGACTGGTGTCTGGGGGCACCTTGTTGCAGGTACCAGCGTCGGTACAGGCACCTGGCAAGCAAAAGGCATGTATCCCCAGCGTTCAGGATTTTGTCTGGTCCCTCTTTGATGTCAGCTAAGAAGGTTGCTTTGCTCACATCCTATGGAAGCGCATCCCATAGTTTAAACCATGCACTTTGTGAAGAACACCTTCCCTTTCTCTGTTCTGCATCACCCACTATTCAACTTCTTTGGGTGACCACAGATTTTAGAACTGTGAAAGAAGAGAAACACCTCTTTACTAGTCCCCCCTCATGCCTAATTTCATACGCCTCCGCCATGCCCCCCCCCCCCCACATTCACACAACTATGCAGGCCCAAGCAAAGCAAACTTCCCTGGCAGGGGACCTGCTGCAGCCCCTTGGTCAGTTTGGTTTCCTTGCCCCTTTTCATTTCTGTGGGCCATGACCAAAACTGCACATTATTCCCAGTGTCTTGACATAATGGCGCTGGCAGTCTTGTTTGCAGCCCACTTCCGCCGTGGACTCTCCCCTTCCCATCAAATCCGTGCAGTGCACTGCAGTGTTTCAGGGCCAGCAATGGTGCGAGATATCTAGAGAATGCTTGAGTGCATTGCTCCAAATCTTTAGAAAAAGTCAGTGCCACTCTCCACACTCAGCCGGACCAGACTGGCGCACATGCTTTACTGCTTTGACGGGATGGGGGCGATTCCTCTGCGAGGAGTTAGGTCAAGTCCTCCAAGCCAATGAATGGCCGTGCAGGGGCTCTCCTTTTGCGACGGTGCAGCCCGCCCTCCTAGCGAGTGGCTGCGAGGGCAGGTCCGCCGGGCCGTGTCTTGGGGCTCTGCAGCCTGGGCTCTTCGGCAGGGATGGGCCTCTCCCCGCGCCCCGTCCTCTGCTCCCCACCATGTGTCCCTGTGAAGTGAAGGTGGCCCTGTGGCTTGCCGCTAACCGAGCGCTTCCTTCCACCGCGGTCTCCACCTGCTCTGTTCCCAGCTGCTGTTCGGCCACACGCGGCCCGTGACCTGCTTGGCCGCCTCGGCCTCCTACAGCATCCTCGTGAGCGGATCCGCCGACAGGTCCTGCCTCGTCTGGGACCTGAACCGGCTCACACGCATCACCCGGCTTCCTGCCCACAAGGCCTGTCTCTCGGCGGTCGCCATCAATGATTCAACGGTAAGGTGTTCATTTATCATCGTTCTCCTGACACGTCCATGAACATTTCATGATGACTTAATGGGTGCCCTTCCCCGGGCGAAACCGTCCTGGGGCGCGACAGATTGATTTTCTCTTTTTGCAGCGTTTCTAATAGTACCCATAATGCTGAGAGAGGGCACTAAAAGCAGTCTCTGAGGCAAAGGAGTCGAGCGGAAGGCGGAGGCTGCAGGCTGCTCGGCTTCGGAGTCCTGACGGTGTGCAGCCTTTGGCGTGCATTTCATTGTCTGGTTCCAGAGGAAGAAAGCCGAGGCCGCCTTCCCCCAGCAAAGGCAACTGACCCTTAGAAGGGGAAAGGGGCATGTGGTCTTTTCTTGCTGAGCAAGATTCGAGCTCATCCGGGGCCTCCAAATTGGCTTCACCACATCTGCTTGTTTAAATGCAGGCATCTTTTGCTTTGCCTGTTACGAAGGCATGCCTTTTAAAAGTGCACGTTTTCCCCAGTGAAAGCAAGGGCATGCATTCCCTTCCCCGCTGAAAACGCGCTTTCCCTCCTGGAAAACGTGGGTCTGCACAAGGGGGCATTTTGGCAAACGAACCTGCGACTGGAATGCTCGCTTTCCGGGGAACAGTCAGGACGGAGAGCCATCGGGGGCTAAGGACTTTGGCATTGTCTGAGCTGCACTTTCCCTGTCCCCTGTAGCATTTCCTCTCCGGGTGGCTTGAATGTGTTCCGATGGGGAAAATATTATGCAGGCAGGCAAACATACATAGGCATCCCACCGTTTTTCTCTTTGCAAGAACCCCAAGGCAGCTGCCATAGTCCTCATCTTCGCCATTTGATTTTCACAACAACAACCCTGTGAGGTAGGTGAGGCTGAGAATCTGCAACTGGCCCAAAGTCATCCAGCGAGCTTCATGGTTGAGCAGGTATTAGAACCCGAGTCCCAGGCCCAGCTGCCATGTGCGTCTGTGTGGGCGACCACGAGAGGAGGACGCTGATCTGAAACCGGGAACTACCAGGCAGGAAATAGGTTAGGGGGCCCATTAGGATCCCCCAAATGGATGATAGGCACCAAAAATGAGGACAAAAGGGGATGCTAATTTGCATATCATAGATGCTATTGCGTCCCAGATGTGTGCGTGTTTATGCGCTTGCTAATTTAAAAATTATTGTTAGAGTTTAAATTTCACTGAAGGCAGCCAATAAATTTCCCATCCATATCATCCCAAATTTTTAATACTCATTCGCAGCCTGGCCAGGATCATGCAGATCTGTCCTGCTGCCCAGCTGATTTGCTCAGCGAGGGTGGCCTTCCCCAGGCCCTGCACTCACCCACGTTCTCCGCATGCCTCTGCCATGCCTCCACTCGCTGGCTAAACAGTCCCAGATGTCATCATCTTTCCTCGCAGGGCAGCTGCTCCAGCCCCTGACCATTTTTTTCTCCTTTCCTGCACTGTTTCCAGCAATACAAGGTCCTTTTAGGTGCAGTAACCAGACCCGCACGCAGTATTCCAAGAATGTCCGCACAGCAGAACACCTGGGCAGTTTTCTTCTTGTCCCTTCCCAAATTTGCCCAGCACAGAATTCGCCTTTTCCACGAAGTGGCACCCTGGGTTAACACTTGCTTCACCTCCGTAAGCCCTGGATGGGTCACTGCTAAGCCACAGCTCACGAGAGAATATGAGAAGCCTGGATTTTTCCCCCCAATGTGCATCGCTTTACGCTTCGTTACACCGCTCTACATTTGCCATTTGGCACCCGTTCTTCGAGTTTGGAAGGTCCTTTTGGAGCTTTTCACAATCCTCTTTTGTTTTGACCATCCTAAACAATCTGGTGAATTGGCAAACTTGACCACCTCTGCACTCACTTCTAATTCCCGATCATTTATGGACCAGTTGAAACGCCTTGACCCCTAAATACAGAGCCTTTTGGAGTCCCACTGTTTACATTTCTCCCCTGGAAGGATTTATTCCAACTTTCTGCTCCGTATTCTTTGACTAGTTACTGACCCATAAGGTGATCTCTCCACTTTTTCTCTGGCAGCCAAGTTAGCTCAGGATTCTTTGGTAAGCGACTTCCTCAAAAGCCTCTTGGAAATCCAAGTAAGCCGTGTCTGCCAGACCACGCCCGCCCACGTGTTTACTGATGCCCTCAGAGAACTCTAGAACGTTTGTGAGAAAGGACTTGCCTTGTCGATTCTTTATCATCTGGCCTTTTTCTTCTGCATGCTTAATAATTTTGCCTTGAATGCGTTCTGTCAATTTCCCTGAAAAGGGCATTGAGCGAATCCTTCCCCAGGTCTCCCCACCCCTTTTTAAGCATGGGGCTGCAGTGGAAATTCTCAGTGTCTCAGATACAGAGCCTGCTTCTAAGATATTTTTCTCAGAAGATCAGCGCTTCCACGTTTGTGCTCTTTAAGAATCCTCGCGTGGACACCATCTGGGCCTGGTGATCTATCAGTTTTCAATCTATCAAGCAGCTTTAGTGCAAAAATTCTGCCATCGTAGGAATTCTGTGGTTCTGCAGGAAATTCCAGATGATGACAACAAGTGCCATCTGGCCCTTCCGACACAGAGGTCATTGGCGAATGACGATCACCCTCAAGCATGTTTCCTTCCACCCTGCAACTGAAGACAAGCCCCAGCAGTATCCTCAGTTTGTGGTGGGCCGCAATGTCATCCCTTCAGTTTGGCAGCAGCCCTGAAGGTGTCCATGAAGAACATGCTGACCGTGTGTGGGCATCTCCGTGTCACGACCATCCAGATCTATGCCTCTCTCGATGAGCAGCTGCTGTTTACCTCTGCAAAAGAAGGGCTGGCTGGCAACTCTGCTGCTTTTCTCAGCCTTTCGGATGCCTCATATCCTCACTGTGAAATCTCCACTCACATTGGTTCACTCTGAGCAACGCTCGGCATGGAGTCTAGCGGTGTTTACCTCCCATAGGACAGACGCTTGAGCCTACGCACCTTATAGCAAGGATGCGCCAATTACTTTTATGCCTCAGCACTCTATAGAATGGCTGGCAGCTACGGGCACAGTGCATCCCTTAATGTATTTGAGCTCCTGGGCTGAGCAGCAGCACTGGGTTCTTCACAAGCCCCTTCCAAAGACGATGCTCCCTGGCCAGAGGTACACATTCCAGGCAACGCCCGAGCTTTGCTCCACTGGTGCCCAGGGGTTGTGCACCTCAGTGCAGGGCTGCTGTTCCAGAAGCTGCCGCCACCCCCAGTAGTAGCAGCGTGCACTTCTCAGATGGGCCGGAGCACCCATTTTGGTCAAAGCAAAGCACAAGGTGCGTTGGCTCCTGTGGAAGCATTGCTTCCCATCAGCAAGTGTTTGGAAAACTCTCAAAACCTGATCTTCAAGGCTGCAGGCAGGAAGTGGCAGACACTACAGCAGGCATCCACTGTTTGAACAGCCCGCGTTCTCCCAGGCTTCCCAAACAGCACCCGTCCTGTAGGAGGGGCATGAAACTCAGAGAGGCAACATCATTGCCGGCAAGGGCTGTGTCTTAGCAGATCTGATCTGCAGAAATGCTCAAACCTCTTATGAGAGGTGACTGGGCCTGAAGGTGCGCCTCCCCCTTTCCCCCAGCGTTGGTGGGGAACCCTTTCTGCAGACCCTTTGCAAGACGGAGCCTGTTAGCAGAGAGCAGGCCTGGGTCGGGCCTCATCCAGGGATGCTTTCCTATTCCAATGGCATCGCAGCCTCTCCTGTCCACCTCGGCTGTTTCCACGCCTGGCCAGAACATTGGCAAACATCAAAGTGGTCAATGTGAACTCATAATGCTGTTGCAACCATGACGAGCTTCGCTTTCATCAGGCTTGCGGCAGCTACGTTTGTCTGCAGAGGCTGCCTCAGTTCCCCCAGGACGGAGGCTGCCTTCCCCATCCAAATCCAGACAGTATCCGCTAAGGCTTTGTGCAGTTGTAAGTGGAAGGAATTTTGCTGCTGCTTGCGAGTCTGATCCTCCAGCTTCGGGTCTTGGCACTGGCATGCTGCTCGCCCATTGGTGTGATGCACAGAGATCAGGATGCCGAAGCGGCTGCCTGCCTCAGACTGCGGTTCTTCCTCTTGTGCATTCACACAGCACAACTGCCACCCCTGCTCCGGGGCCATCATTAGCATAGTCTGTCTTGGTAGCCGTGTGTCCATTGGGATAAATGCACCAGTGCAGACACCGTGCATTCCCTTGGGATCATGGCAGTATATAGGGGGACTAAAGGGAACTGGTGGGAGCCCACTGGGAACATAAGTGCTCAGATGGGGGAGGATCAAACCTACAGGTGTGAATGCAGAGATGGCCCCCAAAGAATCAGCTGCAGGAAAGCAACCTGCTCTTATACCACAGCCCAGAGCAGGTTCGGTAGGGCCAAGGAGCCGGGATTGTGTCCCTGGAGGGTGCCGTGTTGCACGGGAGACAGGCTGCTGCTGTGCACTGGACCGCTCAGCCACTGGCCCATTCCTGCTCAGCCTTCTGAGGGACAGTGGCTCTCCCGGGTGTTCCATGCCCCTTTTCAGGCTGAAGAAGCTGCGGACGCTGCCTGGAAACGTCCCGCAAACAGATGCTTAACCCCTGAGATGTCACCCCTGTTTGGACCCAGGGTCGGCCACGATTCAGATTCCTGGGTGGCCTGTGCACTGGGTTGTATGGGTGTGGCAAGGATGTCGCCTGGCACCGTCACACACTCCGCAGTGATGCCCTGCCATCTGTTTCAGGGTGACATTGCCTCGTGCGCCGGCGGGACCCTCTACCTGTGGAACATCAATGGGCAGCCCCTGGCCGAGGTCTGCGCCACCCTCAGCGCCGGGGTCCACCTTTCGTGCTGCTGTTTCAGCCAAGTGAAGGACTGGGATGTGCGGAGCCTCGTGGTCACCGGAGACACCGCTGGCAACGTGCAGGTCGCCTCTCGGGAGCTTTGGGGGGAACTGCTGCTTCTGGGGACACAAACCACGATGCAGAGTCAGTCAGCTGCCCGAGAGAACACTGGGGCAGTGCTGGGCCAAGGCAAGCTGTGTGCTTCCTAAAGGCAGCCCATAATCTTTCCTCCAAGTTATTTTTCCTCCCGTGTGTGGAAGATGTGGGTGACTGACATGTGAGCGGAGAACCGGAGGAAAGGGGGTGTTCCTTTCCTTCTTTACAGGTGCTTGCTCACATGCTCAATTTTTGGCAGGGAAATAAATATACAGCCATGAATCTATATATATTTTCCTGTCAAAAAACAGATGTGGAGGTTTGCAAGAGAGTTTCAAAAAAAGTCTTTCTCTTGGCAATGAAAAGAAGCCTATGCAAAAGCAGGGGGTGAGGCCGTCCTCACAGTCTTCATTGATTTAGCAGCTGGAGATTTGGGGAAATGAGGACAAGGTGGAGGAGCTGGGAGCTAAGGGCAGAACAGTGCCGATGCCGAGGCTCTTTCTGCAAAGTGGAGAGTCGGCATTCCCTTCCACAAGCAAAGATCCCTCGTGAATTTGCTTTTCCTGGGCAGCTGTCTGTCTGAAGTGAGCACAGAGTTACCAAATAGCCCATTGGCAGGCCCCTCAGCTGGGGTCCATGGGTGGGACCTCCCACCCTTTGCCAGCAGACGCCTGCCAGGAGAGCGCCCAAGCAGGTCTTCCCATTTGGGCCATTCGGCGAGATCCAGGTGATGCCGATTCAGCCCATTCAATCTGCTCGCCGGCGCACCTTCCCCCTGAGGAGCCCTGCCCAGCAGACAGCTCTGCTCCTTTGAGCTTTCAGGCCCCTGACCACTCGCTGGGGGACCATTGGAGGCTGCGCGCTCTGGAGCCAGGGGGCAGGGGACTCAGGCGGGGGCTGCTCCAGCCCAGAGTGGGGGATCCATCCCAAAGACCCTGCAATGCCAGCCTGGTGGGCTTTCTCCCAAGATAGGAGCTCTTCCTTGCCAGTTCCAGCGCTGAGGGTCTCATTCTGCCTCCTTTGGTACCCTGCCCTAGTTATGTTGGGTGGGGCAAAGGTCAGGCTTGGCATAGGATTTTTCGCCACACCTATTTATTTGGGTTTTTAAAAACATTATTGGTAGAATACAGCTATTCTTACCATTACACATCTGATGCATTAAACCAGTCTTCAGGTGCCCATCAGATGTTTCAGCAACAAATCCCATCATCCCCAGTGGTTACAGATGATAAGAGTTGCAGCAGAAATATCTGGAGGGCACTGAATTGAGGGAGGCCGTCTTAAACTATAGCAAACGATATAAACTAAAACAAAAGCTCTCCATAAAATCAAGTCCAAATTGTATTTAATTGTCATGCTTTCACAACAGACCATTACTATTTTTGTCGCTGTTCTCTCTTGCCATCGTTCAGATCCCTGCCCATCTCGAGTGCTTTCAGGTTTCTGACTAGCCAATATTTTAATCAGGAGAACAAGGCCATTTCCTAGCCACTGTGTTTCTTCCCAAACAATTGTTTTTCATCATTTGAAGATTTGATTAAACTATTAAAACCTGCATGATCAATTATGTTTATTTAATTTGGCAGCAGCCCTACATTGAATCTGCTTCCTCCTGTTTCAGGTCTGGTTGTCTGAAAATAATTTGCCCGCTTGCCAGGACGAGAATTTGGGACGCCAGGCAGACGCAGGTAAGGACAGCACCTTGTCGCCAGGGGCTGGTCCCTTTATTATTTGGCTGGTGTTTCTGAGCGGGACCCTCATTGCTTGTACTTGCTTTGGCCGCCTGGGGTGGGGCTGCCGTCAGAAACACTGCAGTGGGAACAGACAGCGCCTCCTTTCTTCAAAACTTGTGGACACTGGAGAATGCATGTTATATTGGTGGCCCCGTGTCTCCTCTTATCATTTATTGTTTTTGTTTGTTTATTATCAGAATTTATTTACTGCAACCTATAGCGCAATTCAGGATGCTTTGGGCAGTGTATTTGATGTGACCTATAAAGACAGTAGGGCTGGTTGGTGGCCCCCCATCTTTGGAATGGCCTCCCTGTTTTGGCCCACATGGCACCAATTTGCCATCTTTTCGGCTTCAGGTTATGACAGCCCTCTATGTAGAGACCTTTAAAGACCCCCTGGTCATTCAGGGGCCACACACCATTATCCAGGTGCCTTTCGTTTATTCTCGCCAGGTCTTTTCATGCTCTTTTTATTATCTTTCAAATGTTACGTTATTTTAAAATAATTCGTAATTCTTGTTAATCTTTTTATCTATTGTATTTTATTTTTTTATACTTTGTTGAAAACCACCCAGAAGGCTTTGGCTATGTCCAGTACGGAAATGTTGTTGTTATTATTAATTATAATAATATTAATTAACAACAACAACAACACATCCATCCAGTTGGCCTTCTCAGGAGATGAGCACAACCTGCAGAATCCCATTCCATTCCAAGTTCTAACTGTTGGGTAATGGCAAAAATGAGGTACTGTAATTTTGCAAATCATTCAAAATATTAATAGGCAATAGAGAAAGAGAAAGTGTGGGTGCAAATCACATTTCAATAGGGCTGAGACAGGAAATTATCTGTGCTTGGGGCTGAATGAAACAGAACTGGAAACCTGCCAAGACTCCTCACAGCCAGTAGGGGGCTCCCTGAGCCAAGGTTTCTTCAGTTCTGCTCTTGTCCATTGTGTTGAGCAAAGACCAATGTAGTTGTGCTCAGTGAAAACCCCAACACTTAATATACGTGGGTAAACGGTAGCAGAGTGACTCTTCTTTGTCTAACAAATGCAGCAGCTGTGGACACTCTATGTTGGCATTCATGAATATTTTTTAAAATTATGGACACTTCTGTCCACTCACAATGCTTTGCAAGTTGCTTTCATGTAAGAGTCATTACGCAAGGCCTAAACAGCATTTTTCTGTGTCATTTTGAGAGACCGCGTTTGTATACATTACACATGTAACTACATGCCAGCATCATGCATGTATTAATGGAAGCGACATTCCACACGTGCATACGTACCGGCTCAACATCTTTTGGTACCAACCAGAATTTATCCTAGTTTCCGATGGAATGCACAGTTCTCTGTTTGCTTTTCGGCAGCCAGCTATTCCCCTGTCTCTTTTGCAACATTATGAGAAAATACTATTAATCGAAAATGTGATCATTGCAAAGACTGAAACAACAATGATTGAGTTACATTTTTTTCACTGTGTTCTTGGCATTTAATTATTGGTTGTATTATGAGCAGATTTAGATAAGTTGATAATACCAGGACTTCATGTAATTTGTTTTAACTGGGCAATTACGGGCTGCATTATATCCTGGCAGCAAGGTATTCTGGGGCATGTTATTAAGCACTGAGACAGTAAACACTGATGAACAATTTTGCTGAACTAGGCATGCAATTTAGAAAGCAATAATACACAAATCCAATTTAGCCCGCAATTGATACAGCCACACGTCAGCATGGGGAACTATCCTAGCCTGCAAATTCAATTGGGACGGGGCTTCCTGGCCATGGCACAGGCCAGGATTAAATATATTCTTCAACTAACAAGTGGCAGATTATATATAATTGCATTTGTCGCCACCTAACTTCTCACACCAAAAATCGAAGTTGGCAACATTTTCCAACTTTTCTTTAACCACACCACAGGCACGAAAGGGGGAAAACCATTTGTTCTCTCACGAGAGCTGGACCTCAGCATGGCTTCTTCAGAGAGACGGAGCAAAACCATGCCAGCAATCACGGCTTTGGCGGTATCCAGGTAATCATTTCTATGGCAGCATTGTAAGTGGCCACTAGAGGGCGCAGTGGCAAGAAACATAGAGCCCCCTGCGGTTTCGTTGTGTGAGATGCCAGCTTCTTCCTACTGTTTTAGTAGCCAAAGTGGGTTTGAGTGGGTCACAGGGGCTGACTAGCATGAGACGATGAAAACCCTCCCATTTTTGGAGCTGATCAGATCCAGAGCCATTCCTGCTCTTTGCGACGGGCCATCATGCCCTGCCTCGGCCCCTCGCGTTGCCAGACCCCTTCACGTGGCGCAGCATAACGGAGACGGGCTGATTATTGGTCTGCAGGGAAATGCATGTGGCACTGTTCCCCTTTTGCTGTGTGCAGGCCTTCCCCTGAGTGCGCATTTCAGATTCCTGCGGCAATATCGCCTTTTCCCAAAGTGTGTATTACTTTTGCACTAGGAAAGCAAAGGTCGTTTCTCAGCACATCCCATTGTTATTGAAACTTAAGACGTTCCAAGCCGTTCTGCTAGTTTTGCATTTTTCTGGCAGACTAATCCTTCTGATAACTGGGCCTCAACCCATTTCGGGCTTTTGTACTGGCCCTTTGAATCAGGCCTGGACTTCAATGGGCAGCCAGTGGGGCTAGCTGGGGACCGCACAGTATGTTCTCATGAGCCAGCCCTACTAACGGTCTGGCTGCCCCGTTTCGGATCAGCTGAACTTGGCCATCAGCACAGAGAAACGGCTTGCAAAGGAGAGGATCGCTCACTTGCGGGCAACACAATCGGCGGGTGGGCTAGTCTGGCACCACATCAAAAGCCCCCTTGCAAACACCAAGCAAGGGACCTCTCTGTCCCCTTCAACAGCCGCGAGGAGGGGGTTGCGCCACACACATTTTTGTTGTAACGTGCCATCAAGTTGCCTCCAACTTATGGTGGACCTATGGATGAATGCCCAGCAAAAGTCTTCTCCTGCTCTTCATTTCTTTCTTGGTCTATCCAGAATGCTATGTACCCAGTGGAAGGGGGAGAAGCTGTCCAGATCTGGGTGGTTTTTTTAACCATCCTGGGACTTTTATTGAATGGCAGCTATATATAAAAGCTTGCAATAGATAAACCATGCGCAAGCTGTCCTGAGAACCCATGGCCTGTTGTTGGCTTGTTCAGGGTGCAGAACCCACTCCGGCTTGCTCCCTGGCAGAAGTGTGTGCCCCCCACCCCCCATCAGGGTGTTCTCCCACCCCTTCAACACAACCTGACTGTTTTTTGGAGGGAGAACTTGGGGAAAGCCAAAGTGGACCGTAGATAGAAACTTAACCAGAAAATGGTAGCCCATCACAATAGCTGGACTCAGTGCGCATCCCGAAATCAAAGAGGGTTAAAAAGGGGGAGGGGTGATTTGCTAGCTATTCATGTTATACTAGGATGTAGCCTTCCACTCTGAAAGTGCAGTGCCCTTATCGAAAGGATCTCAGAAGACAAGTATTTTCAATAACTTGAGACGTTTAGATTCAGCAATTAAACAGAGGGAAGTTTTACTTTTAATAATGAACTGATAACTTTCCTCTCCTTAAGCAGATGTAGCTTAATCACAGGGAACATGAGTTAGAGAAGGAGAGGAAAGATTCGTGGAGCATTTGGAGTAGGGAAATTGCATCAGGAGCTGAAGAGAAGTGAATAGTTCTCCTTTTGTGGTTAAGAACACAAAAATGATCAGGAAAATAAATTAAATTTTTGTTAAAATGATTTTTCTATATTATTTCAAACTTATGATAGTGTACATTAATACATTAAATGACAAAGAACTTTTTTTAGCAAGTATGGATTCAAGTATTGGATTCTTTTCCAGAAGGAGAAATATTAATTGGGAACATTTTAATGGAATTATTAATCCACATTATTAGTCCATTATTAGGACCATCAAAATATTTATGCAAACTAAAGAATCCAATGGGAGTGAGAACGAAAGAGGTTAAAGCCTTAGAAAATCAGACAAAAGATTTAGAAAAATGCCATAAGTGGATCTGTTCAGCTAACATTTATAGAAGCTTAAAGACAGTATGGAAACCACCAGAATTAAATGATGTAAAGGCTATTTTTGAGATTTCTTAGGTAAGAACATTTGAAAAAGCAAATAAGGCTGATAGGTTATTGGCACACATTTTGTAAAAGGAGAAGCACATATTAATTAATCCAATTAAAACTACCCAGGGATAGTCAGTTATCATCGCAGAAACTGCAAATTAATATGATTATGAGAAACTTTATGACATGGAAAGTCCATCGGTTATGCCACCTTACAATGGGCTCAAGTTTTTTTGGAGTCTGAAGGAAAGCAGTGTGCCAGGCCCAGCTTTGCTTCCAAGGAGAGTGACTGAGTCGCTCACGGTGCTCGCAGGTTCTCCACCAACTGGAATGGATGGTCAGCACAGCCTGCTGCTCCGAGCAAGAGGCCAAAGAAAGGCAGGTTGGGTTGAGAAAAATTCTTTTGTCAGGTCTTGGTTACAGGTCTGCAGAAGTCCTCTTGCTAGTGCCATATTTCCTTAGGTCTGTCTTGCAACTGTTCAGTACGAGGTGCGATCGTTGCAGCCTCTATTTTATAGAACTTTGCCCCCTTTGATAGAAGGTTTGTTCCAGCAATGCTGGGTACTTGCAAATGAAGACATTCAAAACATTGCTGGTCATACTAGCTTTCCCAGAGCTTTTATCAACCATTGCACATTGAATTTATATTTTCTTGTTTTGTTGTGTTTCAGCTGATGTACACCACTTGCATAGCTTAGAAAGTTAAGCAGCTTATAGCTAATTTAAGGAAACGGATACACATCTGGATACTGCCAAGTTTGTTACTCTTAAAGGTGTTCTTTCTATCATTTCCCCACAAGGAATTATTCCAGAATCCTGGCTGGCAATGAGCGTGGACAGGTCTACTGTTGGTCAATTGACGAGTAACAGGAAGAAGCATCAACAGGACCTTATTGGCCTTATATATACATGGTTCCAAGGAACACAGGAAATGATGTAACTGCATGAATCTCAAAGGATTTTGATGTAATGCCAAGTGATGACATAGAATAAATTGTTTATGGGTGGGTCTTTGGTAGCACCTGGATTTAAACACTCAGTGTGAGCTACAGCTGGGTGGAATTTTTGGCTGCCCTTTTCTCACCTTTGTGGGGAGGGGAGAAACAAACTTCCAGAAGCTCGGAGATGGAAGAATGTGAGCTATTCTATTCTAGGTGTGGAAGGTTCACCAGTTGGCACTTCCCTTACTTAACTTCAGAAGGTAACTGCTATTATGAGCAGGCGTGAAACTTCTTTTAAATGCCTGAACAGCAATCAAAACTTCGTGCCCACCTTGAAAGTTAAGTGCCAGGCAGCAAATCACAGATGCCAAGAAAAGTTCACCAAAGTTCAGTCACCATAGGCCTGTTGGCACGACATACTAAGAGTGCAAGGTTCATTCCTGGGCCATATACTCTTCCATATTTTTATTAATGACTTGGAGGAAGAAGCAAGTGGCAGGAATGCTCATCAGATTTGTAGATGACACAGAGCTTGAGTGGAATAGCGAATGTCTTAGAAGATGGGAGGGAACGCAGTGCTCTTGAAAGGCTAGAAAACCAGGTAGGAAATATTGAAATTTAACAGAGACAAGTGCAGAGTTTAGGAAAAGGAAATTAAATGCATGGGTATAAGACGGGGGATAGTACTTGTGGAAAGCATCTTGGAGTTGTTGTGGTTGCAAGATGGATTTGTGATGTGGCTGTTAAAAAGGCCAATGTACTTTTAGGTTGCATCAATAGAATTATAGTTTCTTAACCACCAGAAGTAATAATTTCATTCTTTTCTCTGCATTGTTCAGACAGCACCTCAAATATTTTGTCCAGCTTTGGACACTGTGAATTTAAGATCCAGAATTCTGAGAAGGAAACAAAGATGATCTGGGGACTTAGAAATGAAGTCCTGGGCGGAAAGGTGGAAAGCCTTGAGAACAGAAAACTGAGCGGGGCTAGGATAGCGTTTTCCAAGTACCTGAAGGGTTGTCATGCAGAGGAAGGTCGCAAAGGTCCTCTCTGTCCTCCAATACAAAATAATGGGCTTAAGTTACAGAAACAAACATTTTGGTTAAGCATTGAAAAAAATGTTAATGCTCAGAGTAGGCAGGTAATGGAACCATTTTCCTGGCGAGGTGGCAAGCGCTCCATCACTGGAGGTGTTTGAGCAAAGAATGGGCAGCCGTCCATCAGGAAAAATGGGGTGCGGTTTGACCTGATAGTCCAAAGGGTCCCTTCCGCACCCAGGATTCTGCAGGAATTTCTAAGTGCCTTGGATAAATGGTATCCAACATTCACTCCTGTATGGGACTGGGAAAGATCCTGAATTTCCCTTGAATGCTCCCAGTATATGAATTGTTTTTAATTTTTGTGCTAGAGAAAATAAATTTCTTTCCATGGCTGACTCAAAGTTGTGTGCTTTATTCCTGACTTCGGGTCCACCTAAACTTCAAATGCATATATAGGAAACAAAACAATCGCTTCTGCTAGGGAAGCAAATGGCCCCAGAAGTCTCAGAAAAACTCCTCTCCCAATTCTTCCCCTGCCCCTGTGGATCACTGCCCAGGGAGCGCCTGCTCTCTCTCTCTCTCACACACACAAACTGTTCATTCCCTTATTTCCAAAAAATTCTCTCTGAGCCCCCTAATGTAGGGGATTACCCACCCCAGATGCCTTTCTTTTACGAGTTTATTCTTCACTGTATATTTTTGGCTGGTTTTTGTTTTTTGGGCTGCCTTTGATGAGATTGGTATGGTTCTGTATTGCTTTTATGTACGGTTGTCAATGGCCCAGAACATTGGCTGATATAGAAATGAAGCAGTAGTAGTGGCAGTCATAGTAAAAATGGCATCTAGGTCCAAGAGTAAATATGCTGCTCATGTTAGCCATGGATGAAAAGCAGTCCATGGAAGGCATTTCATCATGCTCCATCAACATGGCCCACAGCTGTGATTTCTTTGATTTGCCCAGCGTAGTCTGGCACTTCTAAGGAACGGCCCCATTCCCCCGGCCCTTAGCACAGCGTGCATCCTGGACAGCGGATGTGTTCAGTACTGCGGGACTTGGCATGGCTCCTTAGCCAGTCCCCCCACCCCCAGGTGTGCACACGGTTCTTTCCCACCAGCCCCAAGGGGCATGGCGTGGGCCTTGCATTTTGATGCCCCATTACTGAGAGTGCAGGATCTTGGCAGCAGATCTACAAATAATGATCTGCCCTCCCCACCCCCGCCCCCAGCAACACCTGAACAGCATAAGGTTGCACCCATAGACTGCGATCCCTTGCCAACCCACCTGGAAGTAAGCCCCATGGAATCAAGTGGAATGAATTCTGGTCAGACCTAGATAGTAGACAGTCCTCGGAGTGGGAGGGTGTAAATGGGTGTCCTGCAACAGCAGGGGGCTGGACTCAATGGCCTCCATGGCCCCTTCCGACTCTTCCGTTCTAGGATTCTGTGAGTATTACTCTGCACATGCGAAACGCTCAGCTGCAGTGGGAATGGAAGTTTGTTCAGGATATCAGATTAATACCTGGATCATTTCAGGGTAAGACATGGGCTTGGGATCCTTCAATGGAGTTGGTGACAGAAGGTTCTGACCAGAGAAAGTATTCCTAATTCACAGATTTCTAGCTTAGAGGGCTTTAAAAGGGAATTAGACAAATTCTAGGCTACAGGAAGTTCAGCGTCAGTTTGCCTCTGAGTATTAGACGCTGAGGAACCATTCTTGGAAACAGGATGCTGGCCTGAATGGAAATTAGAAATTAGAAAACTAATCTAAAAAGGCTCTTATGGTGGAACTCTAGGCGCATGGCCTCTTTTATGATTACAAATAATCATAAGAAATACATTGAGATGTTCATGGGTCTGGATCTTTCTTAATTTCCTTTACAAAGTGCTTACTAGGTACAAGGAGAAATGACACAGATTACCATAATGCTGCCGTTTCGAAATACAAATTGAAGTGTGTTTGCATGCTTCAATTCTGGCAAATTTCGGTGATCTTACTCAGCTGTCGTTCCTGAGTGAAAAACGGATTCAGATCCACGACATCCCCACATTACTGCTGTTCCCTCTTGGCCGAGGCATTTCAGCTGCTGGTCCTGCACCGAGCAGTGCCAGGCTCTCCTCCTTTCCCATAAGGTCCCCCCTCTCTGATTCCGCCAGTGCAGTTCTTCAACAGTCATCGGTGTTGATCCTTTTGCTTCCTCTCTGGAGCTCAGTGAGGCCTGGCGGAGGTTCAGCTCCATTGGTGAGCAGGTTCTCCCCAGTATCATAGAACCGTAAGGTTGGAAGCGGCCTGGAAGGCCATCAGGTCCAAACTGTTGCAGGTCACCAATTCACATCATCCCACTCACCCAATTTCTTTTTGGGGGACTCTTTGACCCTTCTAGGCAACTGGTACACAGTTGTCTTGCTCTGTCAGTGAGGAAGCTTTTCCTGATGTCCAGCCTGAATTTGGGTGGTCGCAGCTTGAAAGGATTATTCCGTGTCCTACACTCTGGCATCAGCGAGAAGAGACCTTGACCTTCCTCTTTGTGACTGCCTTTGAGGTCCGTATAGAGGGATATCATGTCCCCCCTCAGTCTTCCCTTCCCTTCCCTTCCCTTCCCTTCCCTTCCCTTCCCTTCCCTTCCCTTCCCCCTTCCCAGGGCTGAGCATGCCCAGTTCTCTCAGTCTCTCCTTATCCGGCAGTGTTTCCAATTTCTCCCCCACCCCAGTTTTCAGCCTTCCCTTCCAGGTCGCACAGCCGAAGAGGCACACTCAGACATGGATCGGCCCTGCCTCCTCCAAGGGAGCCAGTTCCAAAATGGCCCGTGGCCTGCCAGAGCTGCGCAAGGACCGCCTGGTCTGGCCTGGGCGCTCCCGTCCCGCGAGGCGATGCAGAGGGGCTGCCGCGAGGTCTCTCCACACAATCCGCCCCGTGTGTCAGGGCCGGAGCTGTGATGAGTGGGAGTGAGGCCGGTGGAAATCTACTCAAGCCTGGCTAATTGTTCCAAATAGAACGGCTCACTAGAGTGGAAAATAGTCTCCATTCATCTAACTGAAGAAGATAATGACCTTTTAAATAACAGGAGCAATTTTATCTCAATACCGCAATTACTGTGAGCTCTCAAAATGTCAAAGTGCTGGGCACTTTCAAAATAACTTAATTTAGACATTTATAGCTCTTAGACACTGCTAGTTTCTTATCTAACCTAATTATGGGTTGTTCAGGAAATGGCGAAGCATCCCAATTAATGTTATTTTTTATAGTGATACATAGGCATGGCCTTTGGCTCTCTTCCCATTCTGAACTGTATGGCTTGCTCGCAGGCATTTGGTTTCGCTCCCTTCTCACAGAGAACGCTGCCTTCTCCGCACTGCCATGGAGGGACTGTCCTCCTTCCTGGAGCAGGATCGCGCTTGGCCCACCACGGCAGTGGAGAGGATGGGAGCGGCAAGGCGGGGAAACATCTCGCATGTGTGCATGCAGTGGGGCTGGTGGGCCCTGTGCCTGCCGGGAAATGCCGCACAGCAGCCGGAGAACCTTGCCAGAGGGGAGGTGGGAGGCTGCACGCATCCTGCACGGTGCGTTGCATGCAGGGGCTGCTGGGCAGCCGCTTTTGCCCACCAAAGAACACCTGGAAGAATCCTGCAGCCCTTGTGTTGCAGCTGCAGGAGGAAAGCTGCTTGGTTGACAAGCAGTCGCCGTAGGGGATTCCTGGATGCAGGTATTCGTTGATTTAATTTTCAGGTGCTCTCTGGGCAGTTTATACAGTCCATGAGAACTCATGATAAAGGTACAGTAACAATATAAAATCAGAAAGAATCAGGTGTTTAAAGCAGCTAAAAACAGACAATAAAAACTGACAATAGCAAGGGAAACCAAAGAATGACTCTGTGACAATTGGGCTCTTTCCTTTTTTTATTTGAGCAAAGGCTCAAATAAAAATGCTGCTTCTCCACTGTGCAGACAAGATGTTTGTGGTCAAGAATGTGTGGAACGAGGAGGAAAGGGAGGCAGGGGAGCGCCCCGCTGACACTCCGGGACGGGGCCTCTCGGCCGCTTTCGGGGCGGCTCACGCAGCGCCTGGGCGCTCCTGTGTCGCTGCAGAACACCTCTCGCTCCCGGCAGTTGGGATCCCCTTGGCACCAGGCAAGGACTTCCAGCCGCTGCCCTGAAGGCTTCTGGGCCCCGAGTGGGACTCAGGTACATTCCTAGGGGATGGAGACGGTGTGTGGCTGCAGGCCGGGGTTATCCTCAGAAGCACGGCCTGCCAGCAAGGAAAAGATACCCGGGAGGAAAAGGCGGTTGCCCATGTGCTGGGAGATGTCCCACCTTTGCCACCTCCCGCGAGGACGTTCGCCTGCTCCTCCGCTGGTGCCCCCGAACCTACCTGTCGGCAGTGAAGCGAAGCAGGTTGCTTGCCGCTTTGTGCAACGGCCCCATCGCCACGCTGGCCCACTCCTCCGTCTGAGGAGAGTCTCACGCTACACAGCTTCTTGCCACATGCGGCAAGGAAGAGGCTGTTAAGAAGGTGCATGGCTCGTTCGCTGGATTTCCACCGAGACCGGCAGGAAGCCACCTGACCCTGTCACAATCCGCCCCTTCGGACCACATGGCCTCCGAGTCCTGCTGAAGCAGACCCCTGAACAAAGTAGAATGCTGGCTGGCTGCCAGTAGGAGTAACAGCCACCCCGAGGACAATGTTACAATTATTAAATAAATAAGGAAGCCGGCTCTGCCTGTAATGACGCCACAATGGCGAAATGAGCCAGCCGCAGTGGCAGTAAAGGGTAAGCGTTCCCACTTCCCTGGATCTCTGGACAGGTGATCTCCCCCTCCCGCTGAGCCCCCCCCCGGACCTGCCCAAGCTAATGTGATTTACTCCTGTTTGCTGATGGTGATAAAGTTTAATGTGGAGGAACAAACCGTACTTAGTCCAAGGTGTATAAAGCCCAATCTCTCTCTCTCCATCGTCGGACACACAACATTAACATTAACAACGTGATGGGGAGAAGCTAATGGGGCTGCACTTGTGTCCATCTCGGTAGCGGGCCGGCAATGACCAATGACAGCAGAAGGATGCGCGGAAATGTCCTGAGTAAGCAACTTGGCGAGGGGCTGGGTTGCCCTGGAAGGTGCCTGCCTTGAAATGGAAGCTCGCTCTCCTGGGCAGTGCGTTACTCCAGGAGAAGGTGCCTCCTCAGGCTTTCTGGCATCCCCTCTTCCCCTAGATGTGGGACTGCATTCTGAAAGAAGCAGCACTATTTAGGAAACAGAACAGCAACCAGCAATTGATAGGAGAAATGAAGCACTGTCCGGCAAGAGTCATGCCAAAATGCAGACTCATTCCTTGCACAAAGCCGTGGCCAAGTGCCGGTCGTGTCGCATGATTGCGCATAGGAAGCCCTCCCGCTGCACCCGAAGCCCTCCCCGTTTCAGAGCACGCGTCTGCCCCGCCTTGAAAGCGCTGAGAACCTCTCATGGTATGTCTAAATATTCCTTGGGAGGTTTGGGCCTGGGTCCACAAGAAGGCATTGATAGGACTATGCCAAGCAGGTGTGTAACAATTATCAACCGCTGCAGAAGGCCATGACAGGTCACCTGCTTCTGGGGGCATTCCCCACAAGAACACGCACAAAACCCCTTATGCTGAGCCTGAAGACACACCTGGGTGAATATCCCATCCAGCAAGACGGTGAGAGCAGGTGAGTGCAGCAGGTGGAGGCAGCCAGGGTGGAAGACCCTGCTAGCTTCCTGCTACCAAACAACTTGGTCTTCCAGTAAGTCATCCCAATCGTAAGAATAAAGGCCAGAGTAGTTACAAAGCTGGTAGAGGTGTGGCAGCCATCCTGTTTGCCGCACAGTCCAAGGTGAGACTCGTTGCCTGCAGGACCGTCGAGTCTCAGTTCATCCTCACGGGCCCATGTCTGTGAAGGCACTCTTAGCCCGGCTGAAGTGGAGACGCACCGCGGCACCTCAAACAACTGCAGAAGGCCACTGCTGTAGGTCACGCCAATCTCTGCAGAGCTCAGCCCCAAGTGGAGAAAGAGTGGGAGAAACACCCTGGGCCCACCCCAGCCTGCAACTCCAGTATCAGGAAGGAAAGCAGAGCTGGAACTGCATGCCACCCCTCATGGTGTGGGCAATTTGCAGGCAGCTTCAGACCAGCTCTTTCTCCACCGAGAACTACCCCGTTTCTTCTGCACTCTTGTGGAATTGGAGGGCTGGTAAGGATGTTTAGAAATCCAAGTCAAAACATATTTTTGTGGGTTTACAGAAGTAACCAAAACGGCTTAAAGAGTTCAGGCAAGATGACTGAACTGGCATGTCTTTTATTTGGGTGAGTTCAGCCATCAGACGAGACATAAATGAAAATACACATGTCACAACAACTTTAACAGAACTACTCTTTACAATATTTCCTCCAGATGAAACGTGTCATTGTGGCTTTGTCTCAGGAATGCAGTCGATGCCTGTGAGCTAATCCCGCCTGCTTTGGAACGGAATTTCAAATCCGAATGGATCCACACCTAAATGGTCAGGAGAGGGGATGTACCAGCGGCTGAGCCAGCGCAATACCACACAACTTCCATCAGCTGCAGAGTGAAGCCATTTATGGAATACTAGTACAAGCCGTGAGAATGGCCCTTTGTGCGTGTAACTCTGCAAGCAATCAAACGTGTGAGAAGACTCGGCCATGTTGGAATGGTGGCAGCGTATGGATGGGTCACCCTAAATTAGATCTGGGAATTCACATTGACAGATTCCAAGTTTAAAAGAAAAGGCCCAAAAAAGGAATATGTTATGCTTGCTCCTCCAGATTGGTCCCTGAGCATCATAGTTCTCTTATCTTAGAAAACAAGGGTTAAGTTGCCAAGATCCAGTGGAAATGACCTCCAAGAAGGAACAGGATGTCGCCTGCTGATCTTCCATGTCAGAATCACAGATGAGGGCACTTGAAGCTGCCTGCAATAGGCAGCCGAAAAAGTTGCAGCACACAGCAAATGTTGAGCAGGGTCTGGTTGGCTGTGCACACGCCATGCACGAGGACCCCCCTCAGGAGCGCAAGGAACACACAAGCCAGGTGCCGCGCCAGCGGTGACACCCCTGCGCCCCCCACGCACAGGAGCAGCTGCGGATCACACGCGGCGGGCCCTGCTGCTGCGTGCCCAGAAGCGTGTTCCAGCATCCAGGGTGAACATGGAAGGAAACGTGGGGGGCACCTCTGAGAGCAGGTTTCCCCAGGGATCTGCCTGGGATACTTGGCCAGTTGTCAATCTGCTCCTGACACGAACTGCAACTCTGCAAGAATCAGCAATCCTCCCTCATGTCAAAAGCTGCACATGCATGGAGTGACAAGGTGTGGAGTGACTTCCCAAACTCCCTCCATTTGAGGGAAGGGGGCCGAACTTTTCCTCCATCTCCAGAGGACAGTTCTTCCTCTTGTCCAGTCAGATTGTCCTAGTGAAATCAGAACGTGGGAGATGGAAGTGTGGGCAGAATTGAAAAACAGGAAAAAGCGAGGAGGCTCTATGCAGCCACGTGCTCAAGTCACAGAGCATCAGGAGCACGTGGCATTTTCCAGTTATAAAATGGCTCCCACAAGGGATGTCTGTGGGCTTGGCTAATGTTGCAGGACAAAAGAAGATTCCCAGAGACAAATAGAAAGGGAAACGGATGCAAGCGAGGCTGCTGAGAAGCTTCCGACGTGATGGCATGATGCAGACCGAGAAGAGCCTCTAGCATGAAGGTGGGCACCTGCCACCTTTCAGAAGAAGACCACGCTAGCTGCGACCATGAATGCTGAGGGCATTACAGATCTGGTCAGCTAAGAATGAAGATCTAGGAGCTGTGAGAAATCGCTTGAAGGAAGGAGGGATCATTCTGCAGCTTTCTGAACGTAGAGGATTTTGTGCAACCTGTCTGGAACATGAAGCGCATAGAGGTTCTGCCAAACAACCAGTTTCAGCTGTCTCACAGTGGTGCTTTGGAGGGGAAAGGAGCCCCAGGTAGCTCAGTGGTGCCATTCTCCTTCCCTCCCACAAAAACCCACTGACGGTCTTTCCCGAGGTTGTTCTGCAACCTCAGAGAAACCACCAGTGAAGTTCTTCCACCCTGGCTGGAGGAGAGGGGGGCCTGAGCAACCCCCGCTTCCAAGGTCAGAGTGATATTCTAGCAACCGTGATAGCCTCTGGCAGATTGCTCTGTCCATTGTGTTAATGATTGTTGCCCTCCTCCCCTTCCCTCTTCTCTCTCCCTCTCTGTCCATTCTCTTTGCTTCCCTGTGATATCATAAGCTCACTTTTTCGTGTAAATCCCTGCTGCCTTTCAACCCTGTGTTGAATACATCGCACTGGGCCAGGGCACCCCAAGTGACAAAGCTGGTAAAAGAAAGTCCTGTGTAAGTTCTTGGAGAAATCTTCCTACATGCAGACTATATAAAACTAAACGTCTGAACCACCATTCCGGTCCAACAAGAAGCCAGAGTGTGGTTTCTGAGCATGGTATGCTTTTCTGACAATATGTTTAAAACATTGCATTTAACATTAAAAGAAAAGCGGTTGAAACAGAGGATTTCAGAGAGCAGGTAGAACAGCCTCTCTTGCTGGGGTCTGTGCAGATTCCACTGAAGAACAATTTTAAAAATGTATAAAAACAGCATAGGATTAGAATAATACAAAAGGACATTTGTGTGACATTTTATAAATAAACAGCACAGGAAGAATTAAATATGCTCTAGGAAACAGAATCCATTCTGGACCTTCGCTACATCTTACTCTCCTCAAAGAGAATCTGTGCATAGACCGTCATCGTGGGAATGCCTTTAGCATCCTGGTGAGGTTTGATGAGTTCCAGTTCAGCATAGGTTAAATTCTCATCAGCGATCTTCGGCTGCAAAACACAATCGGAAAAGTGTGTCCATTCAGTTAAAATTATTGGATGATTTGGCAATGAGTAAATGATGTGGCAACAGTGAAATGAATCACAGACCCAAATAGGAACATAGTAAAACAATAAAACAGAACATTGTGTTTTTGAAGCTCAGTGGATTAAATATTTCCATTGCACTGCGTGGCATTCAATGGTCGTTGTTAATCACTCTGATCTTTCAGTACATCTTCAGGGGGAAAAAATCTAGAACTTCCTGCATTGTTTCTGGTTACTGAGTCCCAAACCCAATGACGCTACGTAAGTTACATTTACTTTTTCTCTGCTATTTTCCATTCTACCAAAATTATCTGCTAAATGGACCCCCAAAACAGCTTCTCTCCTTACAAGACATATCCCTGGATGATTTCCCGAAACCTGAAACACCTCGGCTCACGAACTTAATCCATTCCACGACTCTGGTTGTGACCCTAATTGGTTGTGACCCAAGTCAAATTTCCCCATAAGGTTCGTTGTAAATAAGGGTAATCCGTTCTGTAACTATTTTTTTTTAATCAGAAATTTTGAAACAAAGTGACAAAGAACAACGAAGTGACACAACACTGTACAGTGCAGTGGAGAACACTAACCTAGGTGGGTTGGGGGGAGGTTATTGTTTTGAGGGAGAGTCCCCCTCCATAAGGACACTGGGGGGATCTCTTTCAGGGGTCTCCTCTCTTAGCTGCAGGGTCAATTTTGGTGAAAAATCTGTCTATAGTCACTTGTTTTTTCCTGCGCTGCGTAACCCTCGGAAATGAGAGACCACGTTATCGTTCGTCAGATTCAACCCTCCGTTCGTTATATTTATGTTGGGGTGCTGCTTCTCGAAGAAATCTTGGCATGGCTGCGCTCCTGCAGGAAAGACGGGCACCATCGCGGCCATCTCCCCCACCCCAGCACGAACACAGCTGCCATCGTGGCCGTCTCCCCTCTCGTGGGGTGGGGAGAGGGCTGCGATCGTGCTGGTTGCGGTGGGGGGGGGGGAGGATGCCTGCGATCCTGGTCTCCACCCAAAGTGGAGTTTGCGACCCAAGTCAAAATTTTCATGAAATGTTTGTTCGTGACCCAATTTGATCGTGAGCCAAGGTATCACTGTATTGCCTTTAGTGCTGCTTTTAGGGCTGACACACATATGCAAAGTAATCCCTTAATGAGTCACAGCTGGATGTCTGTGTTGAAATCTGGGAATGTGAGAGGTCAGCTAGGCAACCTTTATTTATACTGGCTCATTTAACACATGTAAATAATTATTACAGTCCATGAGTTAAATGGAGCACTCCTCTTCTGAGCAACAGCCATTCTTTAAATTTTGGATGGTTGAAAGCTTCCATTTCTCTCACCTCCAGAATTCTTTTCCTCTTAAATAAATAACTCTGTTCTCCGGGGTTTCTGAGAGTTGCATGTTCTTAATTCTTTTCAAACTCAACCATATTTTCTGAATCTCCCACAGCCAAGGACAAACCCTTGTTCAGACCTCCAAATTTTTGCACCTGTTCTCACTGAGGTGGTAACAGGCATGTACAAGAATTTCATTTCCATCCATTTAAGGCCAAAATTCACCCTATTCACACTCCTGAATGTGAGCGTGCTTCCCAGGCGAATCTGGAATGCTCATTCACAAAATGAAAAACTTTAAACATACATATTTTCATTTTTCATTCATATTTTCATTTCTTCGGGCACACTCTTTCAAAAAAGAAAAGAACATGCGCTCATATGTGTCCTTTCTTGTTTGGGAACAGGGCTGAAGCTCTGCTTAGCGAACTCGGTGAGCCTGAGCCCGGCCAATTTCCCATCCGGAGGTGGCCGTTCTGTGCCTGCGAGCTTCCAGGTCAGACTGTGGGCAGGTATCCATTTCACTGCACGATCCTTTGGAGCGAGGAGCCTTCTCCACGTGCCAAGAAGGTGAGCCTGGAACCCTTCTCCTTGTCTTTCTGCATGCACCTTAGTTTGCATGGAGTAACACGGAAGCAGTATGGCTAAGACACGATGCGGAAAAGGCCTTGTGTGTAAGGAATGGCTTCATGACGTGATGACTGGGACTCTGAAGTTCACTCTCAGAAGAGCAGGCCCACCTGGCTCCCCCCACTTACTGGTATCTTCCATTTGCCCCAAACCAAACCGGACACATTTCCTTTCCTTCCCTCCTTAGTTATACTTCTCATTCCAATCCCATCCCCAAACATTATGACTCCTACAATGGCCCTTGAACACCCAGCTCATGTAAATTTTAGAGCTGAGATTTATGAAATCACATTGTCCAGGTGTATTATTATATTATCTGGAAATTGCATTGTTTTCTTGGGTAGATTATCTTTTTATTCCTACTTTATTCTATTAAGTTTGGATATGAAAAATAACACTCGATTCTTCCAATACAGGTCACCGGGCAGCATTGGCTGATGTGTTACTTTCATACATTTTTATGATGTTCCTATAGTAAACATAATTTAATAAAGCCAAAACACACTAAATAAATAATTGCATCTAGAAAAGCAATAAAAGCAAATAAAATTAGTACTTTCATAAGTGGAAAAGGTACTTCAATTACTGCTACAAGCAACGGCGCACCATAAAATGTGTAGAATAATTTCCCTTATGCATATTTCCAGTATGTAATAATTTGATTGAAAATATGAGGAAACACACAGGAGGTTCAAAATTGTAGAGCACATACAGTTCTCAGCTATGTGTAATAACTGCACATAGAAGATATAGCTGTACAAAGTCCTTTTGCCAGAAAGAAATCAGAGGAAAGGGCGTATTTTTCAAGTGTGATAACTGAAAACAGCTTCTAACAAAAAAGAGGAAAACTTTCTCAGCACATCGCTGGTATGCTTTCCAGAAGGACACCATCTCCGTGCTCTAAACCTTCATCTAAAATGAAAAGAAAAACATTGCGGGGTGTGGCCAGATGCTGCGGGGGCTTTTCACAAAATCTGTTGGGGCGGCTTTAGACACCCTGCATCCTACTGCAGAGTAAAAAGATGTGGGGCAGGTGTGGTGACCTGAAAGCATCGTGTCCGTCAGCATCCGTGCCCTGCAAGAGCCGCAGCCACGGGATGAGCACTGGACCAACGGGCCAACGGGCGGAACCGCTGCTTCTGCCACCCTCCACGGGGAGGCCGTCCAACGGGCCTGCGGCAGTCTCCCCGCAGCCAGGGCCCCTGCCCCTCTGCTCCACTCCTCCCGGGACCTCAGTTGCGCCTCAACTGCCCCCAGAGCCTTTCCCAGTTTCCGGGGGCAGCTGATGGCCTTTAGCGTGTTTCCACTGAGCTTTCATTGGAGGCCTCACTGATGGATCCCTCGCTCATGCTCCCCTTGACCCAGGAAGCAGTTCTCCAGTATTGCCTCTGCCAGGGAAGAGGCAACTTGGAGAGAGCAGCAGGTGGGGCCTCCCTCCCGGTCCGTCCGGTCACCTTCTCTCCTGGACTGAACCGATGGAGCTGGGAGGATCGCCTGCAGCGGAGGTCTGGGGACAGAGCTGGTGATGGCCTCACAAGGAGCCCCGGTGGCCTCTTGCAGCTGCAGGCGAAACGCAGGGGTGTCAGCAGGGCTATTCCGCCATCTGCACGCACAGCAAACTTGATGCCTTTTTGCACAAGGACTGAAAGTGTGCCGCGATCAACGTTCTCCTTGCACTATATTCCTGGAAGTGACTTTTCATGATAGAAGAGTCCTGCTTGCACAACACTGGTTAGGTAGAGAGATGTCATTAATCGTGACTCAGGCATGCAGTGGACCTGAACACTGGGAAGTTCCGGGACTGGGAACCTGAGGCCCTTCTTGCCAGTGGGGAGTGTGGCTTCAGGTACATCCAGCTGCAAGGTAAGGTGCCACGTCACACCTAGGATCAGTGCCTCAGAGAGCAGGATGCAGAGAACAAGAAGGTTCTGGGCAGGAAGAAGGCAGTATCTCACCCAACATGAGATGTCAAACCAAGGAGAAGGAACTGGTATACCCAGATCCACATTAGTTGGATTGAAGGTTTAGAAGGAGCAAGCTTTTATGGTGCTACTTACCAGGAGAACTTTCCTCTGTGGCTTCAGAAGCTTCGGCTTGGAGAAAGTGTTGGACACTGGCGCTATAAAAGTAAGAACAAAACAGTGGAGAAATATTTCCAGTTTCTACAAAGTGGGTTGCTTCTAGGATAGGCATCAGCATTCACGGCAAATCAGCCAAAATAATGGAAAAAGAAGGTTTGGTTGGTTTCCATATTCTGAACCGTTTGTGGTCAAGAATGTACTGCCTCGGCTGGTGACTGATGTCATCTGCTGTGGTAGCAGGATTTTTCCAACCACAGCCCTGAGCAGAAGTAACTTGCCATGTTCACACAGAGCACAAAGCAACTTCTACACAACCAGCTTCAATGAGCAGACCAATCCCAGGAGTATCACATGGCAACTCAACAGGCCTGCTCCGGGTCCATCCAGGGACCATCTGTGGGCAGAAGCTTCCATGGACACATTCTGAGTGAGGCGAGGAACACCCGCTACACCAGGGGTCAGCAACCCACGGCTCCAGAGCCGCATGTGGCTCTTGAATCCCTCTGCTGTGGCTCCATCGCGCAACACACACACCGGCATGGCCACTGATCTGTGACAGGCACCGATTTACTGAGCTTTCACAATTTACTGAGCTTTTTCCCCCGTAGGCCAACCATGGATAAATCGAAGAAAAGTTTCTGAAGAAAACCGAACATTTAATGGTACGTGGGCAGATTCATTTGCTTTTACTGCTGACAAACTTATGGGGTTTGCTCTTTAATGCATGCAGCCCTTTAGCACTGACTTTGACTCTGCAGGAAGCTTTTCTCCTATTCAAAATATATGAAAGGTGTCCCACTAATTTATAATGTAAGACTAAAAATAACCATTTTTAGTGACTGAACAAGAGCTGCAGCTAAATCATAATGAAGATACAGATCTACTTCCTTGTTTTAAGAAGATTCTTATAAAAATTCCAGTAACATTATTACACTGGGAGAGGGATGTTTGTTCAATACTTCACCATTCTATTATTTATATTTGTTGTATTGCAGAAACTCTACTTACTGTATGAAAGTATCCATTAGACCTTTTTTTATTCAGGTTGACAGCTGACTGCGCCCTCCAGTACATGTGATACAAGGATGAGGGCACACAGAAGCAGACGGCATTTTTGGTTTGCTGCAGGTGGATAATTTAAGTTCAGTTTTTTATTTCATAAATATGAGGAGGACTCAAATAGGCACTGAGTATTTTAGTTGAAAGTAACTTTCAACCCAGGGTCTTTTTTTCAGAGTTCGAAATGTTTTTGTTGCATGCAGAAATAAAATTTGCTTTCGCTGTAGCAGTTCATTGATTTCATAAGTGCAACACACTATCGCTTTTTTATACATAGCATAAAGATAAAAAATGATATATGCAGTGTTACCTTCATTTTAGATGTCAAAAGGGTTTTGTGGCTCCCGGTGTTTTCTTTTCTGTGGGAAACGGGTCCAAACAGCTCTTTGAGTGTTAAAGGTTGCCGACCCCTGGGCTACATGAGCCGGTGCCGTGCCTGTCATCCTTCTGCCTGACCTAGCTATTTGTGGAGCCTTCCTTAAAAAGCAATAAGCTGCCTGTTCTTTGGGACAGGAAGATGTGCTCGATTTACCAGTCAGCTGGCAAATGGCTCATTGGCACAACTAATGCTCCTTGAAGAGGACTCCATGCATGCGCTTCCGGAGGTGAGTGCGGCCCAGATGCTCTGGGCCAAGTCTGTGGCGCTCTACAGCTGCTCCTTCACGAGGACTAGCGCAGTAGCACAGAGACTTGTGTGCGATCTCTTCCATCTCAAGGTCATAGCAAGTGCTCCTTTCTGGCTACATACAAGGGGTCTTCAAGGAGGTTCCGCACTTTTTAATAAGGTTCTCAAAAACGAATTACATCACTTTCCTACATGTTCGCCTTCCTTTGCAAGACCATTTTCCCAGCATCGGACCAAACCAGCATCTTTCTAGAACTGGGCTTAGGGGTCAACAGGAAAGAAGCGAGGCCTTCCGTGCACTGCCCTTGGCCGGAGCTCCTTCGCAGATACAGAGCAGCAATCTAGGAGTGCGCATCCATTTGGTATGGAAGGAAAAAGTGGGATAAATGGCACCCATTCATGGGTTATTCATTAAGAAACCATTTAAATAGGAATGCATGAGCTCAGAATCGACATGGGTAATGTGCTTCGTTCTGTTTTGCCTGTTTATGTAATAGTTTTTGCCGAACGCTGTCTGCTCAAGTGACGGCCAAGCCAGCAGTTACAGGAAGTGATGGGAGGAAAGGAGACGCTCAGCAATGCTGCGGCGGGGGCGCTCCTGAAACTTCTGAATCGTTCATCAAAACTGTATGCCCAGGTATGCCTGGGTCCTCTCTCCGAAACAGGAGTACAGAACTCTGGAGCTCGAGTCCCAGTTGGGTCCTCCTGGGGAACTGGTCCAGTCTTCCTGACTGGCCACCCCTCCTTTCTTGGTGGCCTTCAGGACCTGTGGGATGGAGGAAAGGCTGCACAGCCACAGAGCGATGCTTCATAACCAGCCTGAGGGATCCATATGCTTGCAGGTGAGATGTTCCTCAACCCCAGGCCTTCTTCCCTTCCTCAGGTGGGCAGTGATATTTGTGGATGCATGGGCGAGGTATCCTTGTAGAAGTAAAATATATATTCAAGGGACACCACCGCTCCTACAGCGGTTTTTGAGATTTTGCTCCTTGTAGCTGTGATATTGTCACAGATACATTCCCCGAGAATGGGCAGAATGTATCTGGTGGCCCATATCACTCATAGAAGAACACAGACTTTTCTGAAGGCTTTTGAGTACTGTACTTTCTTTAGGTCTGAAAATCCCAGTTTTCAGCTTATCTTGAGAACTTGGCTCTAGAAAACCACTTTCTAAATTTCCAGGAACCAGACTGCATTTGGACTTTGTATCAGGTCTGTACCTGTCCTATAAAGGGCAGGGTTCTCACTGGTTCTGCACACAGATATGTACGAAATTATGAAATTCTCCCCTGGAATTGGGGCTTCAAATTACCTGAATTTATTTATAAATTTTTATAAAATGTTTATAAAAAATTTTATTTGTTTATAGAGTGGCAATAACAACAATTGATTTTAAAATGTTGTTCAGACTGCTTTACCATATGTCATTTGCAGCTTTTAAATTTTATTATAGGAAGGTAATACACATATGCACATTAATTAAGCCTTGCTGTAAAAGCAAATCCTGATAAAATACTTTTTGGGGCTTTTTTAAAAAATCAAGGTGTACTTCAATAGATTAGGATGTTCCCTGAAATCTGGCAGATCACATGTATACTCGTACCAGTTCAGGAAGCTTCAAGCAAAACTGAAAGACAGGAACGTGGAAAGAGAGAGAGGGGCAGGTGATGCCGTGTCAGGAGCGGTGCGGCACAGCAAGGTCCTTCTGGAGCTTCACTGAAGTTATCCGTGGCCCCGAACCCCATCCCTAAAAGCTGCAATGTATAAGAAGCCCACTGACATGGGAGTCACCAGCCTCCCCCCACCCCAGCGCACCCCACAGGCTGACCCTAACGTGCCCACTCATCCTCCGACCTGGAACATGAAGATGCAGGAACTCAATCTCCTGGGCCTCTCTCCCAGCCAGCTCTCTGGGACCATGTTGCTCTTTGCCTGTCACATACCTTTGGCTGGAATAGCAGGAGGTTGCTCAACCTTCTTCTTCCTTTTGACTTTTGTGGGTGGCACTGGAGAGTTCGTCACACCGGTAACTGCCTCCCCTAAACTGGAAACAGGACAGATTCGGCTGAAGAGAGAGAGCAATGGAGGAAAAGCCAACACACAAAATCCTATCCATGCAAAAAGTACTTTTTGTCCACAAAGTCCTGATATGAGCATATTTGCCAAGAGAGCGTTCTTCAGCTTTCATTTTGTTTGCATTCTCGCATATTCATGTATCATGGTATTTATTGTGGAGACTAAGCATCCTTTATGGGAACTGTATGCATGAAGGTGCCAAATGGTGTTGTTTTCCTTCCCTATGTTTGTAGGGTCTTTTGTGCTTGTCCTCCATTTCTCCATCTAAGAAGAAAGAAGTTTGGACAGCCACAAAAACATACTCTGGAACGTGAGTTAAAATAATTTTCATGACCCTTAGGTTGTTTCTATCTTCCCTGATTGAACTTGACTTTACTACATTTGCAGCCCTGCTGAAGCGTCTTCCATGCGTCCAAGGCTGAGTGGGAGTAACTTTACAGCTCCGTGATTTGGAGAGCTGGCATTTGAAGAGGCATCCAGTCAAGCCCAGGGCAAAGTCAAACAACCACAAGCGAGTCTCAGGAGTGATCCATCAACAGCTAGCCCCTGGCCATTTGTCTGGGCAGGCAGGCAACCCACCCACCCCTCTGGTCAGTCTTCTGTCTTCTTCTCTATGGTGAGTTATATCATAGAGTAGTAGACTAGTAGAGCTAGAAGGGACCAACAATGCTCACTGCAGGACTCCAGTTAGAGCATTCCTCTCAGAGGGCTGTCCAGTTGCAATGCCTCTATTTAAGTGATAGTTATTTCTAATTTGTACATGTACATATAAATGTACATATGCAAATATTACGTGAGTCAGTGTCCTCTTTTCTGGTGAAGTGTAGGTGCCTACTTCTTCCACAGCATCATCCTGCAGTGTGCAGGGTGGGGAACAATTCAGTCCATTGAAGAGTTAACACTGCCTAAAACTAATTTTGGGTACCAGTGGGAGTACCAGCATAAGCCTCTTCCATGCCCCAGTGGGAGGTTTTATGCTGTAGCTTAAAAAAACAACCCTATATGTTTTTTGTCTCTTTTGTGAATGCATGCAGGAGTCAAGCTGGAGAGTCTAGAAATATTCTATTTGCTCTATGCACACTGCAAGTTATTTATTTTTGCAGATTGTAATAAGAAGCCTTGAAGATTGGGTCTATCTTTTGTTTCGGGGAGCAGTTTTATATTTTCAGAGCCACGAGGGCAGGGTGGCCTGTGTGAACCAGTTTGGCTGGGGTGCAACAGTGGTGAAAATGTTGTGGGGGGGTTGGATCATCTCTTCTCTCGGGACATGATCAGAAACTTGAATATCGCTGCACATTTTCATTATACGAAGACATCTTGTATTGGCATAGCGGTTTGTACAGTGACCAGATTATTCGATGAGCAGAACCAAGTCAAATAACCTTTTGGAAGTGCCTAAGCTGCAAATCTGTCTGAATATGCCTTCACAGCAGGTAACAGGCTGTGATATTTAGTACATCAGAGAAACGGAGAGGCTAAACATTTCCGTAATGTTAGTATTCTAATAACATGCAGTGTGTGTGGTGGTGGTGGGGACATTCAAATGTGCAAGGAACCCAAGAGAAGCCTGAAACAGAGCAATCGACCACAAGCTTTCCTGCTCTGTGCCGGCTGCCCCAGAGACGTCGTCCAAGTGGATAATTTGCTGAGATTTAGCTGTGATTCCTGACAAGTGTCAAACTTGTATTTGCCAGCATATAACATGTGAACCTGGCTCAAGTTAAAAAAGATGCTTAGAAGATTCTAAAAATGATGTACGTGGGGGACTAGCTTCTTCCAGCAAAACATACACCTTAAAAAATTGCTAAGGGAAATGGAAGTAAGTTAGCAGACCAGAATTAGAAGTGATGATTGTAAAATGCTGCAGCCCTTCAGAGGCCAGGCAACCTGAAGTGTGCTCAGCAAGGCTTGCCAGAGCAGTAAGCAGGGCCTTGTGAGCTCAGGACGGCCCCTCGGCGCGAATTGCACAAGCGCCCTTGGCCGCTGCCCTCCGGGAGAGCTGGAGATGGAGTGAAGGTGAGCTCTGATTGCGGTGGCATGGTACTTTTGGACTACGGTACCCATCACCCCCAGGCAACGCAGCCAGAAGTTGTAGTCCAGAACGTTTGCAGGGTACGTGGTAGAGGAAGCTGAAGTAACTTCTCTACTGTTTTTTCTGCCCAACTAGCCCTGACGTCAATACGAGGCAAAGCTGGCGTTCCTCCACCAGAAGGCCACCCTCCACCCTCGACACACGCGTGTGATGTGAACGCAGGGGGTTGCCACGGTCCCTAGTCTGGCCACTTATCTCCTGGACTTAGAGTTGCAGCTGTCCTTGCAGTGGAAGAGCGGATGGTGCCTTCTGGATCGTTTTTGGATAAAGTGATATTGAGGCTGATGCATTTTTAATTGTTTAAACTCGTGGAGATGAACTCCGGGACGCAACTCCTGGCCTCAGCATGCGCCTATTCCAAGACAGAAAGTGGTTTTTAAAAATTTATTTGATTGGTACCACACCTTCCTACCAAACAAGGCACTCAAGTCCACTTTCAGGCACGGAGCAAGGATTGCACTAATACAGGAAATAGAATTCAAAAGAAATGCAGCTTACCCAGATAATGCCACCATCCAGACAAAGAGCAAGGCAGAAGAGAGAGAGGGAAGTAGAATGCAAAAGGGGGTGAACATTAAGGTCTTTATCTTAAATTCTACACCACAGTTTGAAAGAGAGACTGAAAGCAGCTGGTAAAATGGAACCCTGATATTGGAACCTTTAATTTGCTTTAATTTTCCCTGAGCATTTTCAATTGGAAGCTACAGGGACATTTATCAGCGTTTTCATGATTCCGTGTTTATTACTGGGGGTTAAGCCAATGCAGAGAGATGCAGATGTCTTCTGGCTATTAAATCTTGAACACAACTGCAAGTAGACATGTTGGGGCATGACCAGATCAAGGTTTTTTTGTGGCACCAGGCAAAAAGGTCTGGCATGGACAGTCTTCTGCAGAATTCCATGCCTGTTGGAGCAATACAACAATGGAGCCAAAGGGTCCCCCGCTTGGAGGCATTCAAGATGCAGATCCAGAACAAAAACAGAAGGAATAGAAATAGATGGGAACCCTGCTTAAGTTAACTAGGTAAACAATTAATAGAAAAGGGGCTGATTCCATTCATTTGGGACTGAAGAGTGGGGAGCATGGTGTTAATTTAATTCGCCCAAATGCCTAGCGGTTAGCTATCACCAATGACTGTGAAGGACACTGTCCCTATTTTGAATATATTTAAGTTCCAGTTGAATTGAACTTTTTATATTTCACAGTGATTTTGCTGCAACTTCTATTTCTTTCCTCACAAGGATGGGCAACGTCTGTCAACAGGCCACCCCATTCAGGCCACCAATGCCCCTGCAAGGGATCCCCCCCCCCCACACCCACACACCCACCTCTGACATTCTCACAGAAGGATGGGCAGGGAAGGAACTGGGTCACGGGAAGCTGCCACTCAAGCTCCCAAGGTGCCCAGAAGTTCCGGTGGCTCCCCCAGGGATCTGCTTGCCGCACACCTTTCCCCTTAGAAATGGGGAGGAGTACGCCAAGCTAGACCCACCAGGAGACACCCCTTCCAGGTGCCAGGAATGCCTTCGGGCAGCTGCTCTTGAATCATCATCTTCACCACTGTGCTGGTGTGTGCAACCATGAATGGGCCACGAAGGCAATCAGGTCCAGCCCCCTGCTCAGGACAGGACTCCAGGCTGCAGCTTCCCTCCCAGATGGCTGCCCAGCTGCATCTTGAAGGCCCATAACTGCCCTTGGGGACTGGTTCCACTGTTGCAGTGCTCCAACAATCCAGCCTTTCCAGCTCCCCAGCCAGAATCTGGCTTCCTGTGACCTGAGCCCTCTATTTTGTGCCCCAGAGATCTGGGCTTTGCAAGTACTTGAAAGGGTGCTCTGCATTCTCCCCTGTTCTTTCCGTCTTTCTTCAGGGCTTAGTTGCCAGTCCCCCAATCAACTTTCTGGTTCTCCTCTAAAGGTCTGCCACCTTGTCTGCATCTGTCTTAAATCGTGGTGCCCAGCACTGGATGCAGTGCTCAAGATGAAGCCCAGCCCGTGCTGAGAAGAGAGTAACTGGCACTATGCAAGATTTGGAAGTGATGCTTTCAACTAACACGACTCCTTTTTTGCAGCCCCATTGCACTGTTGACTCAGCTTCAGCTTGTGAGCCACAACAACTCCCAGATCCTTCTCACTTGCAGCATCGTTGAGCCAGGTGTTCCCCATCTGGAAGAGATGCATTTGGTTCCCTTTTCCCAGGTGCAGAACTTGGCGTTTGCCCCTGTTGAATCTCACTCTGTTTTCAACCCAGCACTCCAACCTATCAAGATCACCCTGAATTTTCTTTCTGTCTTCCAGGTATTAACTGGAATTTTGTGTCATCTGCAAATCTGATATGCCTTCCCTGCACTCTCTCCTTCAAATCATTAACAAAAAATGCTGAAGAGCACTGGGCCCGGATGGAACCTGCAGTACCGCACCTGTGCCACCTCCCCAGTCAGAGAAGGTGCCCTTGGTACGTTTGTAAGCCACCCAAGATGCCACGGCATGTAGTGGAGGCACATATGAGTTTTAAACAAGCAAGCAAGGAAGGAAGCAAGCAGGTCTGAATGAGGGTGTCTGAGGGAGAGAGCAAGACACCGCCCCTGACGCCAGCTTCAGCTGCGCCCAGTGGCAGCCCCCGGCTCCTGGCGGCCTTTCCGGGAACCAGCAAGTGTTTGGCCACTCTCAGATGCAGTTTCAGTTAGTTTCTCAAAAGTTATTTGTTGTTTTTCAAGAAAAACCATTTTCCTTAAAATAGTTCCCCATTTGAAGTTATATAAAATACAAAGTGAAAGCCCGTAAGTGAAGCCCCTTTTCCTACCTGTTCTGGGAACACTTCGCCAAGCAGTGTTTCACTGTGGAAAGCAGGGGAGAAACAAGGAAAAGAGAAAAAAGGACAACACCAATGAATGCAGTAGTGCAGATACGATCCTTTCCTCACACACATTTCTGGGTGAGCGATTGCCATCTTAAGAATTCTTCAAAATTCAAGGACTGCAAGTTAGTAGCAGCGTTTGCAAATGTCCAAAGGATGCTACCGAGAAAACGAGCCACCTGAAATCCTATCTGAAGACGTTCTTGGTCAGGCAGTGACCACCTGTGTGGCCCCAAGAAGCAGGGCCTTTTCTGTAAAGCCACAAGACAGTCTGTCCCCCTCCTGCATTTTTGCGGGGGGATACACCTTTTTAGGGTACCAGTACTGAGCATTTTTAGAGAAGTCTTGAAGAACACTCCCTGCCCCAAAAGTTCTAAAGTAGCTCAGAAAAAGCCAACTGCGCTGGCTTTGGCCATAAGAATGGCAAAATCCATATGTTGTAATGTATCTTAATACAGCTAATTCAAGGATAACAAACAATGTGCAAATGTTTGGAACTTCTAGTTCTCTGTTACAAAAGCGGGTTGGCTGGATAGGAGGGACAGGCTGACTGCACGTGGATATATCTGGACTACAGTATCCATTCTCCCCTTCATCCCACCCATTGGCCAAGCTGCTTTTGCAACTTCTTGCCTGATGGAAAGGCCCAGAAACCTTCATGGTCTGCACATTCATTTTTACACTCTTTGAGTCGGCCTAACTAATGTGCAACAGCACATGTCGTTTGGAACCAAATGACGACCAGCTGCAGTAAATTGCATGGAAATTTAAAACATGAGAGGTAAACCAAGAGCAAGCTCCAGATGCCTATGCATGCAATACCATGGCTGGGCAACGCAGCCAGGCATCTTGATCCGCAGTGGCCCCTTGGGAAAGGCAGGCTGCTTGCCCGGGACGGTCGTTCCTCGAGGGATCACCTGCGCATTCACACAAAAGGGGTTTGCACCTACGCGGGGCCTGCAGCTGCCAGACCCGTTTCTGTGGGAGCCCCCGGTATATCTGAGTGGAGCTCCCCTTCTTGTTCAGCTCTCTTCTGACCACCATTGTGGGAACCCTGGGACTTTCCTCTTTGTTCGCTATCGCTTTTCTGACTCATTCTTCACTGAGTCTTGCTTTCTCCACTGTGTTAATCCCTGTTTTTCCCAATCCAATCCCTTGGTCCAAAAAACAAAACAAACAAAAATACCCCAAACCAAAACTCATCCCTCTGTGAATGAGTTTTTCCTTTCTTCTTCAATCCCTTCTTTCCCAAGGGCACTAAAGGCACCATTTTGGAAGTGCATGAAGGGTGGGAGCTGCCTGCCCCTGGCTGATGGGCATTCCCTTTTCCTCTTCTGTTTGGGAGAGGGGCACCTAGGGGTGGCCGGCCAGCCAGCACGGCCAGGCCTTCCCTAAACAGGAACTGGGCTGAGAGGGTAGGCTGCAGAGTGAGCTTTGGAGTGGCTCCCTCAAGGCCACCGATGCAGCTCAACGGGTAGCACCTGATCACTTCTCTACCATGGGGTCCACGCCCACCACCCACCTGGGGCTCCTGCAGTCATCCTGCCCATCCCTGTGCGCCCCAGGATGCCTGGTCAGAGCCCACTGGGCCAAGAAGCCGGCCACAGACAGGGTGGAGGCAGAAAGGGCCAAGGGCAGGAAGTAGCCCTGGGCATGCCACTCTCCCTCCACTCCAGTACCTGAGCCAAGCATCCTCCAGGCCAGACCCCACTGTGGAGCCGACCTCAGACACTTTGATCTTGGAAGGAGAGATCCAGGTCTCCATTCAGTTCCAAGGCCACCAGGTTGGTTTCACTGGCACTGAAGAAGTGGGTTGGAGCCCCTCCCAGATACACTGAGAGGTGGGAGGGGGGCCTTCCACCAAAGGGGGTCTAGCTAGGAATCTTTCCAGCAGAAATAGGAACACGTTCCCCACCACCCTCCATGCAGCATGCCCACACTGAGCATTCACCAAGACATTGCGACTGTCTGGTCACCCTCCTTTCTCCCACCAACTCGCCCAGCAGCAAGCATCCTCCACTTGTGATTGTCGCTCATTAAATCAAGGGCAGTTACATAATTCGCAACTGTCGCTGCTGCTACCCCATCATCCTTTCTCACCATTGGCATTTAAAAGCGGCACCCTCTTGTCTCCGTGTTTCTGCATCACTCACCATGGGAATGTTTCCTGTTGATCCAACTCTGGCAGAAGATAACGAGGGTGAAAAGCAAAACGCTGACGATGCCCAGAGAGCACACAAGGACGGCGTAGACATACAGGTCTGGAAGGCAAGCGGGAAGCGAGGATCAGCCGTTTGCCTTGAGCTGCTGCCTCGGGGATGCCAAGGGCACGTGGCCACAGGAAAAGGAGCCTGTGGATAAAAGCCTCACGCACTGCCCTGCTTGGCCAGCCCAGGGGCCTGCTCCACAGAGGGTGCAGACCATAACAGAGAGTGAAGGCAGACGTCTGAGAAAAAGATTGGCTAGACAGTGTTTGGCACACTAATATTTTGTTCTAGGGATGAAATTATATTCTGTATGTATTTTGAATCTTGAAGGCTTTGCATATTTTTTCTTTGGTGGAATGTTGCCATCTCCTGAAACTATTTTGGCACAGTTTGGGCCTGCGTGTTAGTTATTTTTTCCCCTTAATTTCCTCTCAGTTTTGAGGCCTTATTGATATTTTGGCTGCTTCTATTTTGTTAGCTATAGTGAAGACAGGAATAAAAGCATGATAGAGAGAGAGTTTAAATATTCCTGATGCAGTTCTCATAATAAAAAAATAAATACATAAGGACACCTCCACTAATTTATCCACATTTTATAAAATGCTTAAAAGGAAAGTTAAGACAGCCTTACTTGTTTGCAGTAACAAAAGAATCCAATCCATAATAAAAATAATAAATAATCTGTGTTGCATGTGTGTTGCACAGTTAAATCTGGCTGGACCAGACTGTGTACATGAAGTTCAAAGGCAACTGTTGCTATTTACACTGAGCTACAACTGTATCACCTCGGACAATGCAAACAGTATTTTAATGTCGCCAGCATTATGCATTCAAACAGAACTTTAAAATATATGTTGACTTACTGCTCATAAGATCAATGTAAACATTTTAGCAATTGATCTCACAGCAGCTGCAGAATTTGCATAACTGCCTACAGTGGGACCTCGGCTCAGGAGCGTAATCCGTTCCAGGACTCTGGTCGTGACCCAAATTGGTCGTGAGCCAAGTTAAATTTCCCCATAAGGTGCAATGTAAATAAGGTTAATCCGTTCTGTAACCATTTTTTAAATCAGAAAAATGTGAAGCAAAGTGACGACAACAAAGATCGCGACCATCTCCACCCACACCTCAAGCACAAGCGTGGCCATCTCCCTGCCCCCCCCCCCCAGCATGACCGAGATCGCGCCCGTCGTCCCTGCACACGCCCGTCATCCCAGCAGGTGCCCGTCATCCTGGTATGCGCCCATCATCCTGGCACGCTAGGGGGTGAGGGAGAGAGATGGGCATGATCATGGGCACTGGGGGAGGAAGAGACGGCCACAGATGGTGCGCTGGGGGACAGAGAGACGGGCACAAACGAGGCGTGCTGGGGGTGGGGAGATGGCCACGATCATGCTGGTTTGGGGGGGGGATGGCCGAGATTGCGCCCATCTTTCTTGCAGGAGCACGCCCATGATCACACACGTCTTCCCTGCACGAACGTGACTGTGATCATGGCCCTCTCCCCACTTGGGGGTGGGTGGAGATGGCTGCAATCTTGGTTGCCACCCAAAGTGGTGTTCGTGACCCAAGTCAAAATTTTAATGAAATTTTTGTTTGTGACCCGATTTGTTCATGAACCAAGGCATTTGTGAGCCGAAGTACCACTGTAGTATTTTATTTATTTTAGAGGTTTGGAGTAACACTAAGTCATAACAAGATTGTATTGCTTTGGCTATTGAACAATATAGACATAATAATCATAATAAGCTGTGATTTTCATTGCAGCTGATGAAGGAAAAACATTTTCACACTGGGCAACATATAGGCACTTAAGAGCATAAGAAAAGCCTCACTGGACTGGACCTCTTCCCCGGTTTCCCAGCAACTGATGACTCAAGACTCGTTTTACTCTCACTAACTGTTTTTTTCCCTAAATAAATACCTTCCTCTATGCTATTTTCCTATCCTGACAAAAGTCATTACTATTCTATTCTTTGTTTTATATGCAGTAAACAGGTTCCTAAATATGCATGAAGATTTGGATAAACATGTATATGTTTGTTTGGTCGCAAGGTCATGCCCACCCAAGCCCACATCGACCATCCCAGTGACTCCATCCAGCCACCTCATCCTCTGCCATTCTCCTTCTTTTGCCATCTATTGCTCCCAGCATTAGGCTCTTCTCCAGGAAGTCCTTCCTTCTCATTAGGTAGCCAAAGTATTTGAGCTTCGCCTTCAGTATCTGTCCTTCTAAAGAACAGTCAGGGTTGATCTCCTCTAGGACTGACTGGTTGGATTGCCTTGTGGTCCAAGGGACTCGCAGGAGTCTCCTCCAGCACCACAATTCAAAGGCCTCAATTCTTCGGTGTTCAGCCTTCCAACTCTCACAGCCATACATTGCAACTGGGAAAACCATAGCTTTGACTTTATGAGCTTTTGTTGGCAGGGTGATGTCTCTGCTTTTTAGTATGCTGTCTAGATTTGCCAAAGCTTTCCTCCCAAGGAGCAAGTGTCTTTTAATTTCTTGGCTGCACTCTCTGTCTGCGGTGATCTTGGAGCCCAAGGAAATAAAATCTGTCATTACCTCCACTTCTTCCCCCTCTGTTTGCCAGGGAGGGTTAGCACCAGATGCCATGATCTTATATCCAAATACACATGGAATGGGATTTGGATGCTGAGCAGTGTGAATGACTCCTGCTTGTGCAGGTGAATCTCCCTGGCTTTACCTGAGCACACTAAAACGAACTTGGCAAGAATGCCCCATTAAGAGAAGCATCTAATTTTGAGAAATTAGCTGTAATTAGTGGCAGCTAAGGCCTCTTAGATCAAATCCACTGCTGTCTAATGATATTTGAAAGAAATAGGATCAAGATTTTGAGATCACAAATCAACACAGGGAATATGGAGTTTGATCTACAATATCAACCCCAAAGTAAGCTCTGATAATGAAAAGAGGCAGAAACAGGCCCTTGAAGTTCAGCAGTATATCCCACAACAGTGTCCAAGGCATGGGACTCAACACACTCATTAGCACAGGTTTCAGGAGTAATCCCAGCAAGAAATTTCTGGCAAGAGGGCCATTGTGGTACAGGCACCTACGTACCCACAAACCTTGCGGTGGTGATGCAACTCAGACTCCTTGCCTGCCAGTGCAGTCCTGGGGGGACATTTCACCTGGAGTTGAGAAAGCCCCCTAGCTGGGCGCCTTCCAGCACTGGCATGAGCCAGGAGGTAGCTCTGGGCATCCCTTCTCCTTGCTCAAGGCTGCCTCTTGGCTGGGTATCCAAACAGCACACGCTGAGCGCTGCTCCCTTGGCAAAGCAGCTTCTTCTCCTTGGGGTGACACCAGGAAGAGACACGTGGCTGGGACCCAGAGACCCCAGCGCAGCACTGGGAGGTGGCACTGCACGGCACGGCGCGACACACTGGCAGGTTCGGAGATTCGCGCTGCAGCGTCAAGCGTCGAGAGCTGCGCAGGAATACTGCCGCTCTTGTGCCTCACAGCCAACGTGGGGAGACGTCACTTCCCAAGGAGAAGAAGGAAGATCAGAGTTGTGTGGAGGTTCTCACACATCAGGTGAAAGCCAGCCAGAGTGGGGTGGCAACCAAATGGAGCAACGGCTCCTTTCATACTTTCTGTTTCTGGATCTAATGCCTGTTGTGTGAGTTTTCTGTTTCATGGCACAAAAAAGTTTCTCACTTTTTTAAGCACCTGGCTCTGCTGGAATCTTCAAGATGCCAGCTCAAAGGCACATTAAAAAGGAATTTAAAAAGTCGAAGTCAAGCCAACCAGATCAAAGATGTAAAGGAATCACTTTTGAAGCCTAGCAGCAAGAAGGGATGAATAACAGAGCGGGCTTACAGGTGAGACAGAAATGGCCCCAGAGGACGAACGGCTGCCTGAGGAGACTCACCAATCCCTTTGTGGCTTAATGTTTAAAGCTGAACTGAAGGTGTAGAATTAGGACTGCATCCTAACCAGCACTTAGAGATAAAGCAACATGTAGAAATGCAATTCAGGTTTGGAAAGTTCTTAAGGAAATCCTTCTGTTAGAGTTGGAAATTCTACCCTCCACCAAGAGACAGCAGGAATGAAACTGGGAGTTTGATTCTTGAGGCAAAACTTCTCAACTATGAATTAAAATATATGTTAAAATTAAACCCTTGTCCTGAGAATTCACACATTGAGAGAAATGGCTTAAAGCTACATCCATCTATGCCTCTATGTAGAAGAAGGATGAACATTATACTTAACCTTCAAAAAACTTCCAGGTCTTGTGGTTTTTCTCAGCAGTGGAGTCACCTGAAACTGGGGATGAAATCACTGTAAAAAGAGATACAGAAGAGAATCGGTAGAATATTGGCAGACTCTTCAGACACTGAAGCACCTTGGCATTGAAAAGGAGAGGGGCTTAGCTTCCCCCTGGAATACGTCCCACCTTGCACTTGAGTTAACATGAGACGGAGGCCAGCAGTTAAAATTAGACTGAACTTCACATTAATGGGGAAGAGATGCTTAGCATCATTGTGTTGAACTGCCATGAAATGCTCTGCGACAGAGCAAACACTGGGACCCTCACACCATCTTTTCACCTCTGAAGAGCCAGCAATTAGGACCTGATCCCCCTTCTTCCTTTACCTCTCAAGTGAAAAACACCAGGGACTGGCGCCCTTGGGCCACATTTAGGCATTCAGAAAAATAATGTGAATCCCTATTCTCTCCCCTGAAATTCTCTCAGAATGAAGCTACATGTTGCTTCAAAGATCGAACTAGGTCAGTGGTGGCGAACCCGTGGCACGCATGCCCCAGTGGCCATGCAGGTCCCTCTCCGTCAGCACGCAAGCCAAGTCGCTGCAGCATCACCTCAGCAGCCGAGCATCGGATAACAGCGCACATAAGGGTCCTGCACATGCTTGGAATGGAGTAGCAGCACCAGGCGATGATGTCACGAGCCACAACACTTTAGCTGCAACTTGTCCGAGCTTTCGCACGGCCAGTCAGTGCGCTGCCAAGGATGGATGGATGGATGGATAAATAGATAGATAAGATGGATGGATGGATGGATATTTGCTTGGACTGGCTGTGAGTTGTTCTTTCTAAACTAAAACCTCAGTATTCAGGTCTTATTGTAGTGTTGGCACTTTGTGGTAAATAAGTGGATTTTGGGTTGCAGTTTGGGCACTTGGTTTCTAAAAGGTTTGCCATCACTGAACTAGGTTTTCTTCTTCTATATGCCAAAATATTGAGGGGGGGGGGGAATCAGAACCCTAGAGTGGAGGAGTAGGGCTTTGACTCTTTGCCCTATGCCTGCAAGATACATTACAGTTGGGTGCTTTTTTTTGCAATGTAAATGGTCATGTGGGACCAGATTCGGACTGGAACCACAGCAGGTGGGCAAAGGGTTAAGTTCCCCTGAGCCACCCACACAGCCAGGGCCCCAATCTGGACAGCAATATCTAGATATGGCTTCCCATATCTAAAGGATATGCAAAAGCCTTTGAAAATGTTGGAGCATTGGCTAACATCAGAATTAAACTGGACACGCATAACTTCAACAGTAATGTTGATTAACTGCTCCATTGTTCTTATGGACTTTAACAGGGAAGGGAAACCGTAATAACCTCTGAACCACTACTCAGAATTTCATCAAAGCAAGGCAAGAGAACCATGAATGAAGCACAACAACAGGTTTTCCCTAACACAATCCATGAAAAGCTATCAAACAAAGTAGAGTAAAAAGATGAAATGTGTCAATTTTAGGCACATTCTGGACATTTCGGATTCTTTTGGAGCTCATTCTGAATCAATCTATTAAACACAGACCAACACCGATCACACACGAGGACCTCAGACTGCCTCACCTTGGATTTCCGTGGACGCGCTCCCGTTGGACCACGCGGTCCACTTGTCCCGGTACTTGCCAATCTCCTGCACTTTGCAGATGTAATGCCCTTGGTCGGCCTGTTGGAGATTCAGGATCAAAAACGTGTACATTGTTCTCGGTCTCTCCTCCGTGAGACGAAGCCTTTGCTTGTAGAACTGATGCGTGTAATTTCCATAGTACTGGACTGCCCCGTATTTTGTCATTTTGATCATCAGATATTCCTGGGTAGGCAGAACGGCAAACACCCATCGGACAGCCAGCAAATTCTCTATTCGTCTTTTTTGAGAAACATGGCAAAAGAGGGTGGCGTTGTCTCCGACCACATATTGCATCTTGGGTCCTGGGGAGACAGTCACATTCAGAGCTTCACAGGCATCTGCAAAGGGAAGGACAGACAAAGGCATCCAGATGGGCTCTCACAGCAGAGAAGGGGGAGGCGCACACTAAATTCATTTATTTATTTTATTTATTTAAAACATTTCTATGCCGCCCCCATCGCAACAGAGCCTCGGGGCGGCTCACAAAGAATACATGAATACATACATACATAATGATAACAGTCAAAATGCAACCAGTCCCCAAGTTCTGGATGTGGAATGAAGAACCCCGACTGTGTCAAGTGGACCTTTGATTACTACAGATTGTGCATGTTTTCATTTCAACTGCTTCATCGACTCTTTGCCATTTCTGGAGGATGGGCTGCAAGAATCTGCATCATATTTAACATAACTGTTTCACTGTCAGAGACTGAAACAAAAATACTGATCAAGAAGTAAGAAGATCCTTGCTTTCTGATGTAGCTCTGAAAAGATAAATCGGTTTTCTGAAGTTGCTCAGGGACTAGAACTTAAAACAGTTTCATATTTGTTTACAGCTGGAAAGAGGATACAATTTGCACAATTGTTACCACTCTTGAGAATGCGGAGAAGATTCTTGGAAGGCTGTGGCTAGGACTGAAATCTAAACATTAACTTCAGTAGGCTGATATGGAAACCCTTGGAAACCAGCTAGGCTCATCATTATGCAAAGCTGATTCTGTTTTCATGCACTTAAGTGGCTGTGATCATGACGACCCATTTTCGACAAGAGCAAAGTCGAACCATGCTCAAAAGGGTGTAACAAAAGAAGGGAGGAAGTCTGTATCCCCTGTGCATAGTGGCAAACGTCTAGGGATCTTAGGGCCAAACCAGGCAAGGTGCGGGGAGTTCTCTTAACTCCCCACCTTTTCACTCAAAGCAACCACGAAGGAGCAGCGGCAGGGGTAGGAATCCTGACCCCGGGAGCTCCCAACTAGTATCCTTGCCAGAATTGTCCCACCAGCTGCTTTCTGATCCTGCAGAGGAAAAAGTAGATAGGGAAAGTGACTCGGAACATGAAGAGGGAGGAGGAGGGAGGATGAAGCCTGCTTTTGGTTCAGTCAACCCTCCACTTCTTTTCACGAGGGGAAAGATGGAGGAAAGAAACGCTGTTAAGGAATCGCCTTTGTCTTGTCTGCTTTGGCAGCTGGTGTGAAAAGAGGAACCGCTAAAACTAGATGACCAAATTATGCAATCTGCCCCTTCAAAATTATACTCTCGGGACATAGAAGTAAAAAATAAGTTTACTACAAATGATAACCACCCGATCTGTTGTCCGCCTTGGGGAACAGGGATAGGCATAACAAGAGTTGCGTTCATTTAACTCTTACTCAGGAAAGACAACTTGGGGAGGGTTTCAGGAGGGGGAGACAGCCATCCCCCTTGGCAGCTCGATTCCGTTCTGTGTTCCTCGTTGCGCGAGTACCTAGCTCGGGCCTGGATGCAGGCCGCGCCCCTCACACGCACTGGGCATGCTCGGCTAGGGACCCACGGCCAACCACAGCTTCCCAGCGAGCGTCTCCACCCTTTACACCTTGCTTCCTGCGGGAAAAGCCCCAGCAGACAGGAATGTTTCACCGCACAGTGCAGTGGGGGCTGCTCTCCGAAAGCCTCAGAAAAGCCCTCAGGCCCAGGAAGCGGCCTGTCCGCGGAGATCAACCTCCCTCCAGGAGGGCACAGCGCCGCTCTGGGTCTGCCCAGCCCCGGAATTCCTCCTTCGCTTGTCTTTCCCCTCGCATTTCTAGCGCATCTGAAGACACACAACTGGCCTGCGGGAGCGATCTCCGCCATGGAAGGCGAGCCCTTTCCAGGCTGCGGTGCGGAAAGCTGCGCCGGTGCTCTGGGAACGGCTTGCGCAGCGCGACCTGGCAGGCGAGGGGTTAACGCCGGGCGGGCGCCCCCGGCCCCAGCCGCCTGCCCGTGAATGTGCCGGGGCCCACCTACTCGGAGGCGCCGGGGAGGGGAGGCCAGCATCCCGCGGGACCTTCCGGAGGGTGAGGGGCTGCACGCGTCCCCCTTCCTCCCCGCTGGGCCGGGGCCGGTCCGCTCGCTCCCGGGCAGCAGCGGCGCCTGTCCGGGCGCCCGCGGGGCTGTGCAACGGCAGCGCCGGCCGCAGGCTCCGAGGCAGGGCGCTGGGGCCGGGGGCGCTTGCGGGAGGCCTCGGGAGGGCGGCTCGGCGCCCACCCACCGCCCGCCCACGCCGCCGCCGCGCGCATCCTCCCCTTACCTGGCGAGGAGGTGCCAGCCAGGAGCGCCGCCAGGAGCAGGAGACGCATCGCCCGCGGCGCACGGACCGGAGGCGACGCCGCGCCCGCCCGCCCGCTTTGTCGCCGCCGCCCGGATTCGCCTGCTCGCTCCAGCGCCGCTGCCCACCCCCGCCTCGCCGCGCCTCTCCCCGCCCCTCGCCCCCACTCCCCTCCCGCGCCTCGCTGCTCCCCGCCGGTCACGGAGGCAGGCGTCCTCGCACACTCGCGCGGCTATTCCGGGCCCGGCGCCGCCGGACACGGCCCCTCGCCAGGCGGCCCGGCAAGCGCGGCCTGCGCGCCCCATCCCGCGGCGCGGGGGCGGGCCGCGCTGGCTGCAGAAAGCGGATCGGAAGCGGCGGCGCCCCCCGCCCCTTGACCGAAGGACAGCGGGCCCGGGCGGGAGGAGGGCGGCCGGGGGAAGCGGGCGCGATGGGGCAGAGAGCGAGGAGCGGCCGGCCGGCGGGCGAGCCGCGCTGCCCGCCCGCCCGCCCGCGACCTCGGGGCGCAGCAGCACAGGCGCGCCGCTCCGGGCGGCAGCCCTCGTCCTCCGCGGCCCGGCGCTGGGGCGCAGCAGCGCCGGGGTGCTGCGCGCGTCCAGACGTGCCTTCCACGTGGCGCTGCCGGCTGGGCGGCTAACGGGCGCCCCGGGCGAGAGCTCCGCGGCAGCCGGGCTTGTGCGCGCCCGGCTCGGCGGCGTCCCGTGCCCTGAAGGACGAGCGGCGCTTTGCTGCCACGTTACGCAGATGGGTGGAGGGCTGTCCTGGGGGGGCCGCGCAAAGGGCGCCCTCCGTGAGCCGAGAGAGGCCTTCTGCCCGTGCTCAGAGACACTGTGCGCGCTGGGTGGCCCTTCAAGGCCAGCAGGGCCAGAGAGCCCCCAGAG